CCAATTGTCGCTTATATCTCACCCGAACTTCCTCCTCCCTTAGTTTATACACTTTCACCTCCCTCCCTCTTGTTGTTGCCACCTTCCTCTTTTCCCATCTACCTCTTACTCTAACTGTAGCTGCAACTAAATAATGATCCGATATATCAGTTGCCCCTCTATAAACATGTACATCCTGGAGCCTACCCATCAACCTTTTATCCACCAATACATAATCTAACAAACTACTTTCATTACGTGCTGCATCATACCTTGTATATTTATTTATCCTCTTTTTCATAAAATATGTATTACTTATTACCAAATTTCTTTATACACATAGCTCAATTAAAGGCTCCCCATTTACATTTACCCCTGGCACCCTAAATTTACCTACTACTCCCTCCATAACATTTTTACCCACTTTAGCATTGAAATCCCCAACCACCATTACTCTCACACTTGATTCAAAACTCCCCACGCATTCACTCAACATTTCCCAGAATCTCTCTCTCTCCTCTACACTTCTCTCTTCTCCAGGTGCATACACGCTTACTATAACCCACTTTTCACATCCAATCTTTATTTTACTCCACATAATCCTTGAATTTATAAATTTGTAGTCCCTCTTTTCCTGCCATAGCTTATCCTTCAACATTATTGCTACTCCTTCTTTAGCTCTAACTCTATTTGAAACCCTGACCTAATCCCATTTATTCCTCTCCATTGAAACTCTCCCACCCCCTTCAGCTTTGTTTCACTTAAAGCCAGGACATCCAGTTTCTTCTCATTCATAACATCCACAGTCATCTCTTTCTTATCATTTGCACAACATCCACACACATTCAGACTTCCCACTTTGACAATTTTCTTCTTCTTATTCTTTTTAGTAATCTTTACAGGAAAAGGGGTTACTAGCCCATTGTTCCCGGCATTTTAGTTGACTTTTACAACACGCATGGCTCACGGAGGAAAGATTCTTATTCCACTTCCCCATGGATATAAAAGGAAAAGTAATAAGACCAAGAACTATTAAGATAAAATCAAAGAAAACTCAGATGAGTGTGTATAAATAAATGTGTACATGTATATATATATAATGTTTATATATGTTTACACACACTAGTGATATTTATTATTTTTTCTTCCACTAATTTTAGAGAGGGAGCACACAAGTATTTAACTATTGCTACAACTTCTGATGTTCACTTGGTCAGGGACCTCCTTCAGGAAAACATGCGTAAGTACAATATTTCATTAGTAAGTACGTATATACATACTTGCAAATCCTAGGAGATAATCAGTTGAGTTGTCCAAGACATGAGCCAGAAAATGTTATTTTCAAGATGCTTACACAATTATAAATTTTTTTTCTAATTGTATTATTCTATCTTTTATTTATGGTAGTGCACTGATATTTTAAAAGTTTTTCCTAAAAAAAGCTTGTTTTCTTTGCAGCCGTTTATAATGCAGAATTTGTTCTGGGATCTATCTTGAGGCAGGAGATAAATCTACAAATGGCTATTTACATTGATGAGGAGTAATTACATTTTCTTTCTTTCAACACCCAAGTAATTACATTTATGGTGAAATAAATATTGGAATCTGTTCTTAATTAGAAAACCAAATTTTAGAGTTGAATATTGTAATCAGATGTATTCTTGTAGTTTATTAGAAACATAAGGAAAAAATAGAATGAAAATTAAACTTAAATTATAGTTTAAAATAAGTGTATGTATGTATATATAGTATATACTGCATTTTTTTTTTAACACACCGGCTGTCTCTCTCTGAGACAGGGTGACCCAAAAAAGAAGAAAACTATAAAGTCTTTCTTCTTTTTACATTTAGTAATTTATACAGAAGGGGTTATTAGCCTCTTGCATATACTGTATCTACATTCATTATTTTATTGCATTGAAATGGAAGGGATTATGAAGCATCTTATGCAATTGACTGTAACTCAGGATATTTGTGTGTTTTTTAAAAGAATATTGGTCAGGAAGTTGCAGTATATCTACTCTTCACTGCTCTTAAATGTGTCTATAGAAACACTATCTTTCTAAACTTAATGACCTCTTACAATCTTTTTTTCATTCCTGTACAGCCTACTACTAGTATTATTATTGCTCTCTTATTTTAATATTTCTTGATAAATCAATGCACTTAGTTTAATACTTCTAGAATTTACTTAAAGATACAAACACTAAGGTCTTTTTCATAATTCTTATAGTATTATGGATTAGTGCTCTTTGCTTGTGTACTTCTTTTTAAGAGTAGATGAAAATTCTAAACCAACTTCATTACTTGTGCCCTAACACAGATGTTTTAACTTTCCATAGTCTTCTTTGTCTCCTAAATACATGATTTTTAACATTTCATAATCCTTGTCTAATGTCACCTGATGTGTAGCCACCCAAGTGCCTACATGTGGACATTTTTCATGTTGTGCGGGTTTCCACGTAATGCCTTATATCCCTCCCTCTCATTGGCTGTATAACAGCTGGTGTTGCCTTCTGAGCTATGATTGACTACTGAAGACATCTTAAATTTGTGCCTAGCATTGTTGTGTAGTGTGATAATTGGTCAGCTGTATCAGTAGCCAAGAGTGCGTGCTTAAGTGTAACACAGTTTATAGGACAGTATCCAGTGAAAATGTTAATTTAAAGAAATTTACATTGGGTACAATAAAAAAAGTGTGTGATTATAATTCTAGGCATTTATTATTTAACAAATAAGTTTACAATTTCAGTTCAGTGTATATTCAGAATTGCATTGTTAATGAAACCTGGTGTCATCCATTAGGCTTGTTGATTCATTTTATATGTTAGCAACACCATATCATAAGTGATATTAGTACTAGTGATGAGGTGTTTGTCATTACCTTGTGAATAATAATGCAGTTCTCCCCACAAATTCCTTATTTACATAATTTTATTATCCACAGATAGGTTTGATTTTCCACAGGTTTTCTAATGGTACCCATTGTTTTCAGGCTTAATACAGTGGAACCTTGGTACTCAAACTTAATTCGTTCCAGAAGGCTGTTCGAGTATCGAACCAATTTTTTCCAACCAGTTTTCTTTTTGGTTGACTGTTATCACTAATCTTCATAGGCCTCATGGTGACTTATTTATACAAATATAAAAAACTCCAAAAAATGCGAAGAAACGTGAATTGCGTAGTTTACAGTGAAGTTCTGGCAGGTCATGTTTATTTGGTCGAGTGCTGAGCAAATGATCGACTACCGAGTGATTTTTTACCGAACAAAGCATTCAAATGCCGAATTGTTCGAGTACTGAGGTTCCACTGTACATGACCTTTTAATTGAAAACTACCAATACGATTTTGTGGGTTTCCATCCCTAAATTTCTCTTCATTCTGAGTATTCTTCCTTGTATTTTTAATGTTAGTATTAACCAGAGGCATAGTCTTTAACCCTTAAACTGTCCAAACATAGATCTACATTCATGCTCGTAGCACTCTGAACATAGATCTACATTCGATTTTACATTCTTGTGTAAAAAAAAAAAGTAGATCTACGTTCGGAGCGCTACATGTGCAAATGTAGATCTACGTTTGGACACTTTAAGGGTTAAAAACAAAATGAACCCAAACCTGAAACAAGCTTTTTAATTAGACATAAGTTTGTATTCGCAGAACCTCTAGAAACTGTGACCCCAGTAAATTTGTAGAAAGAACTGGAAATGTTTCATAAAATGACATCATTGAGAGTGCATCTTTATGGGGGGTGGGGGACCCTTGTGGGTTTAGCACTTAGTTTTGATTGTAATAATAATATGGGGTGGGGTAAGTAGCCTTTGGGAGTGTGGGGACACCTGATTCAGCCACTTTCTCTATGAATTAATATAATAAGCTCCTACTGTATAAAGTGTGTAATATTTTTTTATTGCCTATGTATTTGTAGTAATAGTAAAACAAATTTTGTTTTAATCTGTGAGGAATTTCTTTATTAATTAGGGATTAATTTTGCTTCACTGACAATATGAGAATGTATGGTTTTATTTTTATCTGCTTTCATTACAGATAACGTTATATCTATCTATCTTTCAACACACTGGCTGCATCCCACCAAACCGGGGTGGGCCAAAAGGAAAAACGAAAGTATCTTTTTTTTTTTTTTTTTTTTTTCCAACAAGTTGGCCGTCTCCCACCGAGGCAGGGTGACCCAAAAAGAAAATGCTTTCATCATCATTCAACACTTTCACCACACTCACACATAATCACTGTTTTTGCAGAGGTGCTCAGAATACAACAGTTTAGAAGCATATACGTATAAAGATACACAACATTTTATATTTAGTAATATAGACAGGAGAAGGGGTTACTAGCCCCTTGCTCCTGGCATTTTAGTCGCCTCTTACAACACGCATGGCTTACGGAGGAAGAATTCTGTTCCACTTCCCCATGGAGATAAGAGGAAATAAACAAGAACAAGAACTAGGAAGAAAATAGAAGAAAACCCAGAGGGGGTGTGTATATATATATATACTTGTACATGTATGTGTAGTGTGACCTAAGTGTAAGAAGAAGTAGCAAGACGTACCTGAAACCTTGCACGTTTATGAGACAGAAAAATGAACGCCAGCAATCCTACCATCATATAAAACAATTACAGGCTTTCGTTTTACACTCACTTGGCAGGATGGTAGTACCTCCCTGGGCGGTTGCTGTCTACCAATCTATTACCTAAATAACTTTATATATACTGTACATATTATTTATAAAGACGTTTGCTCTATCTTTAGACATATACAACAGCTGCTTTATTTTTTGTGATAAAGGTGGTGAAGAGATGCTGATTAAGGAGGCAGTTAGTCGAGTGCACAGAGTATTTTTATACCGAATGATTGCATATTGGCTGCACGAGACTCGCACATCTTGTTGACAGTCAAATGCCTTTTGACTGATTGAACCATTTATCGAAGAGTATGTATGCATGTTTTTTTTTTTTTTTTTTTCTTTTTTTTAACACCTCGGTTTGCCCGCTCTTGCAGAAAACCCTGTCTTCATTGCAAATAGAAATATAATCACACTTACAACAACCATATACCAAATGTAAATGGAAAACAAGCATATGTTACAAAAAATAACAAAAATATTTTAGAATGTTGCTTACCATTCCTCCAGCTGGTGAGTACCTGTGGTTTTAAGTAGAGGTAGTGACAATTGTGAGGCAATGATATGAGGTTCCTGCCCTTTATAAAAGACTGTAGATTAGTTAAGAGATTTTTCTAGACTTATCTTTAAATATGAATATTGTTCTGTATATGAATTTGACTTCTGAACTAGGAAATATATAAAGGCCTTAATTTTAAATCTGTACATGTCAGAGTAATTTTCCCTTTTAGCTCTTATTTATGTTTAAGTGATTGGATGAGCATGGTGTATGGTTAACACCTATACGGTTCATTGAACATGTACTGTATGAACTTTTTACTACCTAAGTAATCAAATAATAACAGTACACTGTAATATACTGTAAAAAACATACAAAATTTGGGATTTCCTTTTACTGTATACAGTACTTTGTTTATAATGAAGCATTAGCACTAAAGTGCTGTTAACCCTTTCAGGGTCCGTCCCGTAGATCTACGGCTTTATGTTCAGGGTCCAAACCGTAGATCTACGCCAAAATTCTAGCGGCGTCAAATTTAGTGCGAGAAGGCTGGTAGGCCTACATCTGAGAGAATGGGTCTGGGTGGTCAGTGTGCACACCATAGAAAAAATCTGGACGCCCGCATGGCATTGTGGGAACACCGGCAAAGTAGCTTTGTTCATTGTGCCTGGCGGCAAGGAACCTCTCACTCTCTGGGCGAATTCTGACTCTCCTCTTCACAACTTACAGTTCTAAGACTGATGGAAGTGGAGATGAAGACGAATTCTATGGTTTTGAGCCATATGGTACCATTGTGCCATATGGTACAATGGTACCATATGGTACAATGGTACCATATGGTACAATGGTGCCATGTCATACAATGGTATCATATGGTACAATGGTATTGTATGGTAGAGTGGTACCATATGGTACAATGTACCATATAGTACATTGTACCATATGGTACATTATACCATATGGTACAGGGTACAGGGACCCTAATGGAAATAAGTCTGTCTGACTTTTTTGGGTTATCCTAGGTTCTCCAAACATATGCTGCTAAGTATGATATTCTATATAACTTTATTTGTGTATAACTAAATAAACTTACTTATGATGCCACATGCACTTGAGTAAGTTTATTCAGGTGTACAGAAATACAATTACATAGATTATCATACATAGCAGCATACCTATAAAATCCTAGGATAACCCAAAAAAGTCAGGGTGACTTATTTCCATAGTTATCCCTGTATCTGTACCATAAGATGTCCTGTACTGTATGGTACTCTGTACCATATGGTACCCTGTGCCTTATGGTACCCTGTGCCTTATGGTACCCTGTGCCTTATGGTACCCTGTGCCTTATGGTACCCTGTGCCTTATGGTACCCTGTGCCATATGGTACCCTGTACCATATGGTACCCTGCATCATGTTATCCTGTACTGCATGGTACCCTATACCATATAGTACAATGTACCATATGGTACCCTGTAACATATGATACCGTGTACCATATGGTCAATAGGTGTTGGTGGCATGAGACACCAGCCAAGACTGAGTGGCGACACAAGCTAGCTACTGACTCCACAGTTTCCGAGATAAAGTGCTTTGTCATCCACCTCAAGGAACACGTCAAGTTCCTGTACACTTGTAAATGTATAATAGAGCATTACTAATATATATAATTTTTGCATATTTTTGTTGTAAACAATTATTGTAAACAAAATAATAATGAAAATATTAGTGTTTATTGTTGAATACAACAGTACCATATGGTACCATTGCATCATATGGTACCATTACACCATATGGTACCATAAGGTACCATTGCACCATATGGTACCATTGTATCATATGGTACCATTGTATCAAATGGTGCCATTGTACCATATGGTACCATTGTATCATGTACCATTGTATCATATGGTACCATTGTATCATATGGTGCCATTGTACCATATGGTACAATTGCAATATGGTATCATTGTACTGTATGGTACAATGTACCATATGGTACCGTTACATCATACCATATGGTTCAATTGTAATATGGTATCATTGTACTGTATGGTACAATGTACCATATGGTACCATTACACCATATGGTACCATAAGGTACCATTGCACCATATGGTACCATTGTATCATGGTGTCATTGTATCATATGGTGTCATTGTACCATATGGTACCATTGCACCCTATAGCACCATTGTACCATATGGTACTATATAGTACCGTTGTATACAACACAATAACCAGACTAATATTTTCATCATTTTGTTTACAATAAACTTGTAAACAAGTTTTGTAAGCAATATAATGACAAACAAATTAGTGCAGTTATTGTGTTGTATACAATGAGCGTACACTTTTACAATATACATTATATTCGTCTCACAGGCCACAAATGTTATTAGAAAAAGAAAAAATTAGAAAAGAAAAGAAAAAAGTATAAAAAACGTAAAATAAAAAAAAAATGGGATTTTGCGGAAGTCATGATGTTGCCGCCACCCGGTCATTTTGGGTCAACTTCCCGCCACTGTATCTCGGCAAGTACTGATCAGAATTTTTTTTTTTGTCTTATTACCTTCACAAAAATATACTCTTTAATTCTGTAAGTTTTTTTTTTTTTTTTTTTTTTTTTTTTTTTTAAATTTCTTGGACACTGGAGCACCACTTCAGATTTTGGCCTTGGACTCTGAAGGGGTTAAAACATAAACATCAAGCTTTATTAGCATTTTATAATTTATATAGTATGCAAGATCCTACTGGTAAAGAATAACAGATCAAGTAAATTTCTATACAATTTTTTTTTCTTATTGTATTAATAAAATGTATCTTTGAATTGGAATTGTCACCATTTTGTAACTGTTATGTGCCTGTGATAATATAAACCTTGTCCTCTGAACATGTATAAAAATTTTGCATTACCAATTTATATGTAAATATTGTATAGCCTGGGAATGAAATGCTGAAGTACAATAAACAGTACAGTACAGTATATAAAGATATTTTCATAGCAATTTATAGTACTGTACATTATTAGTGCTGCAGCATTAATATTCTGTTGGCCAAATTGAAAATTAAATTAACCCAGTCTGTGAGTTAAATACATAAATATTAGAAGCAGTGATTCCTTTTGTTATACTTTGTTAATGGATATTTTATGTAATGATACCTGTTGGATTTGTTCATTTAATTTTTTTTTCTCTCTCATGGGAGGTTCCTTGATGCTGATGAGGGGCTTTTGGTCTGAGAAGTAATTGAACCTGTGCTCCATTTAATTTAATTAAATCTTTAATGCCTTTCTCCAGGCTTTGTATGACCCCTGTGGGTTTAGTGTTAATAGTATATCTTGGATTATTCTTCATATTGACTTAATACTGACAAAGCCTATGTATGTTTACAGTACAAAAACTTCCCATTGAAATTGGAAAAAATTAGCTTAATAATGTCCATTGTGAGAACCAGTTTTTATGGTTTCAGTGTGGTTCTTTGTTTTCAGAGGAACCATATCAAACTCTAGACAGTTTTCTTACATTTTATTTTTTCACTGTCTTAAAGGTTAAAGATAAGTTGAAATTTGACATGAGGATAACTTATGTTTCCACTGGGAGAATAAGGGTTGCTAGAAAGATACCTAGCTCTGTTTATTCTATGAGTTTTCTTTCCATGTTTTTGGTCCCACCCTCATGGGCCATTAGCTCTCCTGCCATGTTCCTTTTTCTTGTCCTTAGACTTCTTCCATTACTGCTATTGCCTCGTTACACCCCAGTCTCTGACTTGTGGGAGTACCCCTACCTACTACCACTACTTCATTCATTTTATTTCCTCCTCTCTTTCTCCTGGCCCCGCCTATCTCTTGTACATATACACTGGCTCCCCACTTACGCACTTGTGTGTGTAACTAGTTGATGGTCTAAGTCGGACTGAATCTTCATAAGTTTCATTCTTCTATGTGCAGGTTATTTGTGTATTGTCCCAGCCACAGTATTGTGACTTTTTATTTGTTCAATATGGACTGTGTGAGCAGTTCAAGCTATTTTGCTTGACTGGTTATGACCAGCCACTCAATACCCAGGACTCACCACAGGGAGGTGGCTGCTCAGAGAGCTCTAAGAGGGAGGAAAAGAAATGAAGATTTTTCTTTTTTTAGAGAAGTGAAGAATTTTTTTTTTTTTAGGTAGAAATAGTTTTTTAACCCTTTGAGGGTCGGTCACTTACTTGTATGCCTAAATTCTAGTGCTTTCAGATCTGGTGGAAGAAAGCTGGCAGGCCTACATATGAAAGAATGGGTCTGTGTGGTTAATGTGCACAGTATAAAAAAAACCCTGAAGCACGCTGTGCATAATGACAAAAAAAAAACTTCGACTGTGTTTTTTGTTTAAAACAGTGACTTTCTAAGTGTATTTTCGTATGGTATTTATGGTTGTATTCTCATTTCCTTGGTCTCATTTGATAGAATGGAAGATATATTACAGAAATAGAGATGATTTTGATTGGTTTCACGATGACAAGTACCTTGAAATTGAGCTCATAGTAGCGAAAAGCATCAATTTTTGCCAATGTTCAAGAGTAAACAAGTCAAGCCACGCGTCCAGTATACGTCAACTGGCGAGTCTAATATTCTTTCACAAGTGCGCTGATATCGTTTATACCATTTTTACAGTGATGCAGTAGTATACATAAAAGAAAACCTATTTTCTTTGAGAATAAAAATTCAAAATGGAAAGCAAAAGTAATGTAAGAGGGGCCTAAGAGACGTGACTAATGAACAGATAAAATGTAATTTTAGTGCCATGAATGTCTGTCTTGTTTAATCTGGACCCTATTTTGAAATTGGCATCTTTTGAAATTTGTGTGAAATTGCCAATTTCTGACCATGTTATTGGGTAGTTGAAATTGGTAAATGGGCGGATTCTTGAACTCAATCGATAGAACAAATGGAGGTCTAGGGAAATATCTTATGATTTTAGTCAACTGCAACATTGGAATTGGGCTAAAATAGGGCTCGAAGTCGGCGAAATCACCCACTTTGAGACCGCTAACTTCGCGAGAGCATAATTCCATAAGTTTTCCATCAAATTTCATACTTTTGGTGTCATTATGATCGGAAAAATATTCTCTCTCCTTTACCAAGATTTTTTTTTTTCTGAACCTGAGAACGAGTTTGGGAGAGGGCCTCTCGACCCTTAAAAGGTTAAAGGTGAAGAAATATTGATTTAGCCAGAGAGAAAGTGAAGATTTTTTAGATAATGTATTTCAAGGAACAGCTCAACCAAACTTTGTGTTGAGCTGTTTGATAATTTGTTGTTTCATCTTGAGGTAATTCTTAAGGGTAGTCACTCCTTAGGGTTCCTGTTCATCACCTATTTAGCCATAGTCATCAACTGGTGGGACTGGCAGTCCATAAGAACTAGCAGCTGGATGAGGAAGGAGATACCAACTCAACTACATTACTCTTGTTGTGACAGGCTCACCCATGACAGCCTCATAACTGACCCAAGGTTTCATTTTCAGAATATTTTTGACATGGGGCTTGAAGTTGTCACCATGTATCCATGGCTGGCCTGAGTGGGTTGTGAATCCAAAATCAATTATAGACGTTTTGGAAGACTCTGGGTCGGATTGGTCAATCATAAAATTGTTCAGTTTGAGGTCCAAGTGAATGAATCCCTTTCTGTGGATTTCCATCATGTTTTGGATGACACTCTCTATAACTTTCAGCCAGAAAATATCATTTGTCCCTCTCCTTTCCTCTGCTTTTTACTGAGATCCAGAAGATCCTTAAGGCCAGGGAAAGACAAAAATTAAGTTACCATCTATGGACACACCCACAAGTTTGGGAGTGCCTCCAGCTCCATCGAGGGACTCCAGAATACCAGCTTCACGCAGGGAATCCTTGTCATGTAGGGGAGTATTGGAACAAGTGGATAATTGGAACTGGCGAACGTTCCATCCTTATCCGATCGCCGTGATGCCCATTGCCTTCGCTACTATGTACGCTCTCATGATCTCCACAATCCTTCCATTTATAGAATGGTCACTGATATTAGTAGACATTCTTTATTTGTTCGCCGCCCCTGTTTACTCCGTCCCTTCTCTCTTCGCCTTCATTCGCTCTTGTCTTCTCTTCAGTTACCACCTTTCTATGTACATGTAGCATCTCACTTTTCCCTACCCCCCTGGGAAGTTCCAGCTGTTCGAGTCTGTTCTTTCTCTCTCCCTTGCTCGAAAGCCCAACTGTCTACGGTCGCTTCCCGCTCTCTTTTTCTTGACCACTTTCACTCTCATTCTCATGCCATTGCTGTGTACACAGATGGCTCTAAGTCTTCTGACGGCGTAGGATTCGCAGCAGTGTTTCCGGACAGCGTCGTACATGGGCATTTACTATCTTCGGCTAGTATTTTTACTGCTGAATTGTATGCCATCCTTACAGCACTTATCCGTATTGCATCTATGCCTGTGTCATCATTTGTGGTTGTCTCAGACTCCCTTAGTGCTTTACAGGCTATACAGAAATTTGATACACCTCACCCCTTAGTCCTCCGTATCCAACTTTGGCTATGCCGCATCTTTACCAAGCATAAAGATATTGTTTTTTGTTGGGTCCCTGGTCATGTTGACGTACAGGGCAATGAACAGGCAGACACTGCTGCGCGGTCAGCAGTACATGACCTACCAGTTTCATGTAGAGGTATTCCATTTACGGACTATTTTGCTGCAATATCTTCCAACTTCACACCCGTTGGCAACAACGTTGGTCTACTATGCTCGGCAACAAACTTCAATCTATTAAACCGAGTATAGGTTACTGGCCGTCTTCTTATCACAGTGTCGAGGTTGGGAGACTACTCTCTCCCGTCTTCGCATTGGCCATACTCGTCTTACTCATGGATATCTCATGGAGAGGCGCCCTGCTCCTCTCTGTGAGAATTGCCAAGTTCCATTATCAGTCAGCCACATTCTGTTGGACTGCCCACTTTATCAACGAGCACGCAGAATTTGCCTCCGTCGTCGTCTTCGCTCTCCTGCTCTCTCTTTACCTTCCCTTCTCACTGATGGACCCACCTTTCATCCAGACTCTCTCATTGACTTTTTGACAACAACTGACTTACTTCACGAATTCTGATACCTTCAGCCCTTTCTACTTCAATCTCTTGCTACCCTCTACCCCCGTACTATCCCCTGCCCCGCTGTTTTCTGTAACCTACTGATCATCCCTCCTCCCTTTTTCCATCCAATACCCTCGCTTCCTTCCCTACCCTGCAGCACTGTATAGCCCTTGTGGCTTAGCGCTTCTTTTTGATTATAATAATATACAGCGCTGCAGGGCAGGAAGGAAGCGAGGGCATCAGGTGGCAAAAGGGAGATGGATGAGTAATAGGTTACGGATAACAGCGGGGCAGTGGATGGTGAAAGGGTAAAGGGCAGCAAGAGACTGAACTAGAAAGGGCTGAGGGGAGTGCGAAAGGTATCATCATCAGAGTTTGTGGAGTAAATCAGTCGTTGTCAAGAAGTCAATGAGAGAGTCAGGATTAAAGGAGGGTCCATCAGCAAGAAGGGAAGGTAAAGAGAGAGGAGTAGAACGAAGAAGGTAAATTCTGCGTGCTCGTTGATAGAGAGGGCAGTCTAACAGAATGTGGCTAATCAATACTGGAACTTGACACTGCTCACAGAGAGGAACAGGGTGCCTCTCCATGAGATACCCATGAGTAAGATGAGTGTGGCCAATGCGAAGGCGGGAGAGAGTGGTCTCCCAACCTCGGCACTGATGACAAGAAGACGGTCAGTAACCTATGCTTGGTTTAATAGAATGAAGTTTGTTATCGAGCAGAGTTGACCAACATTGTTGCCAACGGGTGTGAAGGTGGGTAGCTACTGAAGCAAAATAGTCCAGAAATGGAACACCTCTATAGGAAATTGGTAGGTCATGTACTGCTGACCGCGCAGCAGTGTCTGCCTGTTCATTGCCCTGTACGTCGACATGACCAGGGACCCAACAAAAAATAATATCTTTATGCTTGGTAGAGATACGGCGTAGCCAAAGTTGGATACGGAGAACTAGGGGGTGAGATGTATCAAATTTTCGTATAGCCTGTAGTGCACTAAGGGAGTCTGAGACAACCACAAATGATGACACAGGCATAGATGCGATACAAATAAGTGCTGCAAGAATGGCATACAATTCAGCAGTAAAAATGCTAGCCAAAGATAGTAAATGCCCTCGCACGATGCTGTCCGGAAACACTGCTGCGAATCCGACACAGTCTGAAGACTTAGAGCCATCTGTGTACACAGATGGAAAAAAAAGTCCCCCCCAGTACCACCAGTCCAATGACATTCTTCTTTGCAAATATACAGGGTCTAAAGCCAGCAACGAACAACAAAATACCTTTCATCCGTGGACTGCTTGCAGAGGCAAATGCAATGTTCGCGGCTTTCACAGAGAACCACGTAAAGGATCACTTGGACAACGAAATATGGATCCCAGGTTACAACCTATACAGATGCGAAAGAGTGAACAGGCAAAAGGAGTGGGGTCGGCTTGTATATCGCAGAGTCACTTGTTTGCACAGAACTGCTTAATGCCTCAAATGATGTAGTGGAAGTTTTAGCAGTAAAGATAGAGAGCCAAAACCTAGTCATTGTGGTAGCCTACAAGCCTCCGGATGCAACATCCCAGCAATTCCAGGAACAGCTGTTAAAAATTGATCACTGTCTGGAAAATCTGCCAGCTCCTGCCCCCAAGATCTTGCTCCTGGGGGAATTTCAACTTGAGGTACCTAAAACAGAGGAATATAGCAAATAATGTTGTTGCAGTGATAACACCAGAGGCAGCTCTGACGAGAACTCTCACACACACGAGCTTTTAAATCTCTGCACAAAATTCAACTTAAACCAGCAAATAATAGAGCCTACTAGACTGGAGAATACGCTAGACCTCATCTTCGCTAACAATGATGATCTGATACGTAATGTCACCATATCAAAAACAATATACTTAGATCACAACATAATCGATGTTCAGACATGTATGCGCGGAGCCCCAGATCGACAAAATGAGATTAGTCATGAGAGAGCCTTCACCAAATTCAACTTCAATAACAAGAACATAAAGTGCTATCAAGTAAACCAAGTCCTAAACGATATAAGCTGGGAAGATATACTAAGCAACACAGACCCCAACTTATGCCTAGAACAGATTAACTCGGTAGCACTCGATGTATGCTCAAGGCTTATTCCTTTAAGGAAAAGGAGGAGCAGATGTAAAATGGAAAGAGGCAGGTGCTCCCTTTACAAGCGACGGAAAAGAATAACAGAGCGGCTAAAAGAGGCCAATATATCTGAAATGCATAGGGAGTCACTGGTCAGAGAAATAGCAAATATCGAACTTAAGCTAAAGGAATCTTATAGGAGTCAGGAATCGTGGGAAGAACTAAAAGCCATAAATGAAATCGAAAGAAACCCAAAGTATTTCTTTTCTTATGCCAAATCAAAGTCGAGAACAACATCCAGTATTTGGGCCACATACCTTAAAACAAATGCAGTTTCCCTTACCAACAGATGAAGACAAAGAATATGAGGAGCCACAAATTTGGTTCCAACCAATATGATCTACGAATTTTTATCAAGCCCTAAACCAGACAGCGTCTGAAGATGGAATAGTGAATTTATTAATCGGGAACGAGCACAGACATTTGAGTTAACACAAGCCTTCTTGAGGTATCCTGACGCCAAATGACTTTGAACAGGCGATAAATGACATGCCCATGCACTCTGCCCCAGGGCCAGACTCGTGGAACTTCGTGTTCATCAAGAATGCAAGAAGCCCCTATCACGAGCTTTTACCATCCTATGGAGAGGGAGCATGGACACGGGGGTCGTCCCAGAGTTACTAAAAGCAACAGACATAGCCCCACTCCACAAAGGGAGCAGTAAAGCAATAGCAAAGAACTACAGACCGATAACACTAACATCCCATATTATAAAAATCTTTGAAAGGGTCCTTCCCTCAAGAAGGTTCCTTGATGTTGGCGAGGGGCTCTTGATTTAGGGAATTGGATCTGTGCTCGTTCCCCAAATTAAGCCTGAATGCCTTCCACATCCCCCCCCCAGGTGCTGTATAATCCTCCAGGTTTAGCGCTTCCCCCTTGATTATAATAATAATAATTTGAAAGGGTCCTAAGAAGCAAGATTGCCACCCATCTAGAAACCCATCAGTTACACAACCCAGGGCAACATGGGTTTAGAGCAGGTCGCTCCTGTCTGTCTCAACTACTGGATCACTATGACAAGGTCCTAGATGCACTAGAAGACAAAAAGAATGCAGATGTAATATATACAGACTTTGCAAAAGCCTTCGACAAGCATGACCATGGCGTAATAGTGCACAAAATGCATGCTAAAGGAATAACAGGAAAAGTTGGTAGATGAATCTATAATTTCCTCACAAACAGAACACAAAGACAAGGCTGCCAGCCACAGCTCCGTGTTTTCCTTTGCAGATGACACCCGAATCTGCATGACAGTGTCTTCCATTGCAGACACTGCAAGGCTCCAGGCGGACATCAACCAAATCTTTCAGTGGGCTGCAGAAAACAATATGAAGTTCAACGATGAGAAATTTCAATTATTCCGATATGGTAAACATGAGGAAATTAAAACTTCATCAGAGTACAAAACAAATTCCTTCCACAAAATAGAGCGAAAAACCAATGTCAAAGACCTGGAAGTGATCATGTTGGAGGATCTCACCTTCAAGGACCATAACATTGTATCAATCGCATCTGCTAGAAAAATGACAGGATGGATAATGAGAACCTTTAAAACTAGGGATGCCAAGCCCATGATGACACACTTCAGGTCACTTGTTCTATCTAGGCTGGAATATTGCTGCACACTAACAGCACCTTTCAAGGCAGATGAAATTCCTGACCTAGAAAATGTACAGAGAACCTTCATGGCGTGCATAACAGAGATCAAACCCCTCAATTACTGGGAGTGCTTGAAGTTCCTGAACCTATACTCCCTGGAATGCAGGCGGGAGAGATACATGATTATATACACCTGGAAAATCCTAGAGGGACTAGTACCAAACTTGCACATGAAAATCACTCACAAGGAAAGCAAAAGACTCGGCAGACGATGCAACATCCCCCAATAAAAAGCAGGGGTGTCACTAGCACGTTAAGAGATAATACAATAAGTGTCAGGGGCCCGAGACTGTTCAACTGTCTCCCAGCATACATAAGGGGGATTACCAATAGACCCCTGGCTGTCTTCAAGCAGGCACTGGACAAGCACCTAAAGTCGGTACCTGACCAGCCGGGTTGTGGCTCGTACGTTGGATTGCGTGCAGCCAGCAGTAACAGCCTGGTTGAGCAGGCTCTGATCCACCAGGAGGCCTGGTCACAGACCAGGCCGCAGGGGCGTTGACCCCCGGAACTCTCTCCAGGTATTGGAGGGGTATGTTATATATTTTATATATGCTGCTAAACTGATGTATCTGGGCACCTCTGCAAAGACAGTGATTATGTGCGAGTGAGGCGAGTGTTGAATGACGATGAAAGTATTTTCTTTCTTTTTGGGTCACCTTGCCTCAGTGGGAGTGACCCACTGGTTGAAAAGAAAAAAAAATAGTTGTATTTTTCCCTACCAATTCAAAGTTTCATCTGAACTGTGATATCATCACACTACTGGTAGAAAAGAAATTCATTTATGGTGAATGTGCTTCTTTGTTTTTCTGGAAATAGCTGATGTGTTAAAAAAAAAAATTGTATTCCCAACTCTGCAAAACTTCTAGCCACTATCTCTACATTTAGTAGCCTGAAGTTAAGAGCTATTTTATTTTGCAAATAACATTGAGATCCATCAAATGGCACTTGCAAGTTTATTTGAATGCTGAACAATTCATTTGTTTTGCACCTATTTGCAGAGATGCCTCCTGTACTGCAAGTCTGGCTGCTTGATGCACTTCATTTTCACACCTGTAATAAAAGATTTCAACTATGAATCTAAGCAGTTTCCATTTATGACAAATGTCCATCAAGTCTATTCTAATCATCTTGCAGAACAATGCTTTGCCATGACTTCTGGTGAGTCTTTCACAACCATTCGCAGTGTTCAAATGACCCATACAAGTTTAGTGATTGAAGTCAATCTACACTGATCCCATTCTTTCATTCCATAATTTCTACATACAACTGTCCACACTTGCTGCTTTGCCACATTGTAATTTCGCTGGTTGTAGTCTACATTTCACTTGAACTTGAAAGTCTAGATAATGTACATTAAACTTCATTCTGGCATGCTTGTAAGACTTAAAAATTCTTTCATTGGTGAGGCCTGGACAGCCACAGGCCCCATTCTGCATCTGTTTTGAAGGCAGAGGTAGTGGTGCTTTGACTGACTTAAAAAGCAAAACAACAGTTTGCTTATTCATAGGATACCAGCATAATTACCAACTTGCTACTATTAGGTCTAATTTATTTCATATTACAGATCAGAAGGAAAGCAAAATCAAAGTACATTATATTAGTTACATTCCACAACTGTCATAATTCACTTTATTTCACTGCTCAGGAATTGCACATTTAGGAAAAAATCAGAAATGTTCAAACCATTTATACTGAGATGCTGGGTTCACTATACTGCAATTACTACACTTATGAGAGTGGAGCACTAAACCCATGGGGGTTATAACACCACCTGGGGGAAGGGAAGCCATCAGTTTTGATCCAAAGAAGGGGAAGTTAAGCCCAATTCCTTGGATCAAGAGCTGCTCACTGGCATCAGGGAACTTCCCTTGAGGGGAGCACCCTGTGAGGAAACAGAAGGTGAAGCTCCAGTCCACTAACCACCCCATATATTGTAGAGCTGTTACAACACAGTAATGGGTCACAAGACTGCAACATCCTTATGCTTACAAACTATATAAAAAAAATTATGAATTTATTTAATATTGATAATATTAAATGTGAATGAGTAATAATGGATAAATAGTAAACAAATGGGTTAACACTTACTGCTGAATGTGTTGTGATGTATTCTGTAATTCTCCAAGTAGATTAATAGTAGAATTCAACTGGTAAGATCGTGGCTCTACCAAGCATTCAATGTCACTCAGCAAAGTGATTTGTGTCTTAAGAGCCTCCAAAAGTTGATCTGAGGAAAAAATCATACATCTGTAAAGGCAAGCCCCATTTATACAACAGGTTAGGTTCTGGGGCACCACTGTAAAGTGTAACAGCCCTTTTTTTCACTTTGAAATGCATGTAAAAGCCTGATAACATGTTTACAATATCAAATTAAGTGAACAATAGAGCTAGACCTAAAAAAATGCATATACAGTACACACATTGCTTACCTTAAAATATTTTTGTACTCAGCTGATAGTGAGTGGTGAATATATTTACTGTAGGTAGCCTGAATAAATGAAGAATGGGTATAATTGAAAACTGCTATTAGTGAAATGCTGTAATGTGGGGCCCTCCTGTATATCTTTAGCCCTTCCAGTGTCAGTCCCATTGTATTGTGGTTTTGAAGCCAGTGTCGGTCCCGTAGTATGACGCCACGAGTTCAGCCCACTCAAAATAAGCTGTGAGTGGTAAATTTAGGCCTAGATATGAAAGAATGGGTCTATGCAGCAAGTGTGCATCATATAAAAAAAATCCTGCATCAGGCAGTGCAAAATGAGAAAAAAACTGTTTTTGGTTTAAAACAGTGAATTTGCAGTGTATTTTTGTATGGCTTCTATGGTTGTATGCTTGGTTTCTTGGTCTCAATTGTAAGAATAGAAGATATATTACAGGAATAGAGATGATTTTGATTCGTTTCAGGACTGAAAGTAGCTTGAAAGTGAGCTCAAAGTAACAGAATGATGTCATTTGTCCAATACACATCCAACTGGCCAGTCTAATACACATTTAGGAATGCATTGACATTATTTATACAATTACAATAATGCAGTAGTCTGCATAACAGTAAATCTTCTATTTTTGTGTGAATAAAAATTAAAAATGAAAAGCAAGAGTAATATAAGAGGGGCCTGGAGACGTCACTAGGGAACAGGAAATGTTTATTTAGTGTTAGGAATGTCTACATTGTTTATTGTGGACCCTATTTTCAAATTGGAAAATTGTTTAATTTTGTATGAAATTGGCCAAATTACTGATTTCTGATCACTTTATTGGATAGTTGAAATAAGTAAATAGGCGGTTTCTTGTACTCAGTCGATAGAAGGAGTACTGATGAAATAGCTACAAGTTTGGTGGACTGGAACAATGGCATTGGCCAAAAGTAAGAGCACAAAGTGGGCGAAACTGCTGATGCATAAATATCGCCAAGACCGCTTACTTTTATTTATTTTTTTATTAACACATCAGCCATTTCCCACCAAGGTAAGGTGGCCCAAAAAAGAAAAACTTTCACCATCATTCACTCCATTACTGTCTTGCAAGAGGTGCACTTATACTACAATTATAAAACTGCAACATTAACACTCCTCCTTCAGAGTGCAGGCATTGTACTTCCCATCTCCAGGACTCAAGTCCAGCCTGCCGGTTTCCCTGAATCCCTTCATATTTGTCTCCATTCGCTATCTAACACACTCATGCATACTTTCTTTTACATACCCTACCAAACTCATCCACCTACCTCTGCAACTTCTCTTCAGAATCTCCCAAAAGCAGTGTCATCAGCAAAGAACAACTGTGACAACTCGTAAAAACTTTTCAACACTTTCAATAACTTGCCTCCTATTCCATACATTTGCAACAGCTACCACATTGTCCCCCTATCCATCCTGTCATACACCTTTTCCAAATCCATAAATGCCACAAAAACCTCTTTACCCTTATCCAAATAATGTTCACCTATAAGTTTCACTGTAAACACCCTTCCTAAAGCCTCCTACTCTCCATCTTAGTAAGCTCTTAATTCTTTCAATAATAACTACCATACACTTTACCAGGTATACTCAACAGACTTATATCCCTACAATTTTTGCACTCTCTTTTGTCTCCTTTGCCTTTATACAAGGGAACTATGCATGCTCTCTGCCAAATCCCTATGTACCTTACCCTCTTCCATACATTTATTAAATAAAAGCACCACCACCCCAGAACTATATCCCCACCTGCTTTTAACATTTCTATTTTTATCCCATCAATCCCAGCTGCCTTACCCCCTTTCATTCTACCCACTGCCTCATGAACTTTCCCCACACTCACAACTAGCTCCTCCTCACTCCTACAAGGTGTTATCCCTCTTTGCCCTATACACGAAATCACAGTTTCCCTATCTTCATCAACATTTAACAATTCCTCAAAATATTCCCTCCATCTTCCTGATACCTCTAACTCTCCATTTAATAACTCTCCGCTCCTACTTTTAACTGTCAAATCCGTTTGTTCTCTAGGTTTCCTCAACTTATTAATCTCACGCCAAAAGTTTTTCTTGTTTTCAACAAAATTTGTTGATAACATTTCACCCACTCTCTCATATGCTCTCTTTTTACATTGCTTCACCCCTCTCTTAACCTCTCTTTTCCTCTTCACATACTCCTCCCTCCTTGCATCACTTCTACTTTGTAAAAACCTCTCATAAACTAACTTTTTCTCGCTTACTAATCTCTCTACATCATTCCCTCCCACACCCACTTTCCTGTAACCACACACTAACAGGTGTGTGGTAACACTTCTCCAGGTGCATATACGCTTACTATAACCCACTTTTCACATCCAACCTTTATTTTACTCCACATAATCCTTGAATTAATACATTTATGCTCCCTCTTTTTCTGCTATAGCTTATCCTTCAACATTATTAGTACTCCTTCTTTAGCCCTAACTATTTGACACCCCTGACCTAATCCCATTTATTTCTCTCCACTGAAACTCTCCCACCCCCTTCAGCTTTGTTTCACTTAAAGCCAGGACATCCAGCTTCTTCTCATTCATAACATCCACATTCATCTCTTTCTTATCATTCGAACAACATCCACACACATTCAGACATCCCACTTTGACAATTTTTTTCTTATTATTATTTTTAGTAATCATTACAGGAAAAGGGGTTACTAGCCCAATGTTCCCGGCATTTTAGTTGACTTTTGCAACACACATGGCTCACGGAGGAAATATTCTTATTCCACTTCCCCATGGACATAAAAGGAAAAGTAATAACAACAAAAACTTACTTTCTTTCAACACACCGGCCGTATTCCGAGGCAGGGTGGCCCAAAAGAAAAAATGAAAGTTGCTCCTTTTACATTTAGTAATATATACAGGAGAAGAGGTTGCTAGCCCCTTGCTCCTGGCATTTTAGTCGCCTCTTACAACACGCATGGCTTACGGAGGAAGAATTCTGTTCCACTTCCCCATGGAGGTAAGAGGAAATAAACAAGAACAAGAACTAGAAAGAAAATAGAAGAAAACCCAGAGGAGTGTGTGTATATATGCTTGTACATGTATGTGAAGTGTGACCTAAGTGTAAGTAAGTAAGCAGCTAGACGTACCTGAAATCTTGCATGTGTATGAGACAATAAAAAGACACCAGCAATCCTACCATCGTGTAAAACAATTACAGGCTTCCATTTTACACTCGCTTGGCTGGACTGTAGTACCTCCCTGGGTGGTTGCTGTCTACCAACCTACTACCTAACAACAAAAACTATTAAGATAAAATCAAAGAAAAATCAGATGTGTATAAATAAATGTGTACGTGTATGTGTAGTGTGACCTAGTAAGTAGAAGTAGTAAGACATACCTGTAATCTTGCATATTTATGAGACAGACAGAAGACACCAGCAATCCTACCATCATGTAAAACAATTACAGGTTATCGTTTTACACTCACTTGGCAGGATGGTAGTACCTCCCTGGGTAATTGCTGTCTACCAACCTACCTAGATGTGTGTATGTGTATGTATGCATGTGCATGCCTGTGTAGTGTGACCTAAATGTAAGCAGAAGTAGCAAGATATACCTGTTATCCAGCATGTTTATGAGACAGAAAAACGAACACCAGCAATCCTACCATCATGTAGAGCAGCTACAGGTTTCTGTTTCACACTCACTTGGCAGGATAGTAGCACCTCCCTGGGCAGTTGCTATCTACCAACCTACTACTATAACCACTAACTTTGTGAGAGCATAATTCCATACATTTTCCATCAAATTTTGTACTTTTGGTTTCATTACCTTTGGAAAAAGATTCTATATCATTTCATGATAAAATAATTTTTTTTTTTTTAAATTCTTCCACCCTGAGAGCAAATCTGAGAGCAGGGGTCTCAACGCTGAAAGGGTTAAATAATACCAAGACACGAACCTTAATATACAAGCAATGAGTATACCACTACACATTTAACGCACACTAGAAAGACAAAGTTAACCAGTTCTATTGCAGACTTGTTATCTATGTATATCTTTGTAACACCATTTACTTAGCAATGTAAATTAGGAATCAAGATACACTATCAAAGATGTATCTCCCTATAACTACAAGCTAAAGTAAATCCACATCCACTAAATAAGGAGCAAAAGAAAAAAATATACTGTTAAGATAAATATCAGCCAATAAGCAAAATACACAGGTAAATTTACAAGACAATGCATAAAAATGACAATCTCAGGGGTCAAATGGTCTTCTTGAGCTCCTCTGGGGTTGAAGAGTCATCTTTAGCCCCTCTTGGGTTAAAAGGTTGTCTTGAGCTCAAGGATTAGTCTTATGTCTTTAGTTAGAATAAATGAGCTCTCAGAATTGTCATATGCTACATGAACAACAAAAAGAAATACAGTAGAGGTGATTATGGTGTCGTTTTGTCATCACTTCTATGATATGATTTATACTAAATGATTATGATAACTTATGAAATCCATTTTTTCCTGGGAAACAAGCACTGTATAACCTTTACAGGTTTAGTGCTTTAATTATAATAACAATATCTCCATGTCTGCTACGGTAAGAAACAATCAGTACCAGGATCAAGCCTTCGGGTACCAGACTTTGTTAACTACCACTATCACTTGGAAATCTGAAATCCATTACCCTACTTTTCCAGTTATACCTATTAACTTCATTTTACAGGCTATCACTCCATGGTCACATTTCTTAATTCTGTTTAAACTTGAAAAGTAGTGTATTAATCATGAATATTAATTTTTTCACAAGAATGATTTACCATACAAAATTCAAGCACTCTTTGCCTTCCTTGCCTCACTCTTCAGGAAGAGAGGCACTATATATTATTAATTTTTTTATAATATAATTCCCATTTGTAATATTCTGTGAAGGGATTCAGGGAAACTGGTTAGCTGGACCCGAGTCCTGGATGTAGGAAGTACAATGCCTACACTTTAAAGGAGGGGGTTTTGTATACTGACTGAAGTGACATCTAACCTGTCATATCTGGGCATCTCTGCAAAGATAGTGATTGTGTGTGAATGATGGTGAAAATGTTTCTTTCTTTTTTGGGTCACCCTGCCTTGGTGGGAAACGGCCAACATGTTGAACAAGAAAAAAAAAAACATCTGTGCTAAACCATCAACAAAAAACATTTGTTGTCACAAGCCTATTGAATCCAATTTATTAATTATATAATGTTTCAATTACTTACCTCTGTATTTATTATGATTCTCTGGAACGTAAAGATTATCCATCTTCACCTGGTGAAGATTCTTTGCCAATTCTTGACTCATTACCTGTGTAGCTTCTTCACATGCTGGTAGACCATCTGCAGTTGAAAAAAAAAATTAGTTACATAACCACACACACACACACACACACACACACACAGACGGTGGTAGAGAGGGAGGGGGTGGGAGTGAGAAAAGGAGAGAGAGAAATTTATACAAAATTAATATAAACTAAATATGCAAGATTTTATTATATCTAACTATCCTTGTAAATGGAATGATAAGTATGGAATACTAAAGTCCCGCAGTGCTAAGCCAATGATTGCTGTTGCATGCCATGGAACCAGAAATGCCCTTTCAACACATTTGTCATGCTCTTGTTATAGTGGCAGCACTGCTGACTAGGTCATTTTATTTCCCTAGTGAATAAAATAACTACAATATTCAGTTTTTACTCACCAACTACAGTCTGGAGTAGATCAGATTGCATTTTGTGAGCTTCGCTAACTCTCTGGTGATGAAGGATGAGATCTCTCACCTGTTTTCGCTCACTTAATTCTCTCTGTTTTTCATTCACTAGCTGCTCCAGGAACAACAGCTGAATCTTGTGAATAAACAATGCTATTAGCTTAATATAGAAATAAATCTACTTCTGTACACTGATCAAATTTCTCAACGCACTGTAACAAGACATCAGTATTTACTGCTGACAAAAATGTCATATTTCGTTGGAAGATTTCTCTTGGTAGTTAACATAACACATGTGGCTATTTTTTTTTCTAACATTAATACAGAATACACTACATTAAACCATCAATTAACACAAGCTATAACACTTTTTCAACATTAGCATGGATGAAAAATTGAGGCATATTTTCAATGAGCAGCAAACCATCATTTAATATGGGGTAAATTTAGGGAAAATAGCTAAAAGAAGGTAAACATGAAAGGCAATACGTAATTGATAATTTCACAAACTACTCAATCTTGTGCCTTCAACAGTCACTTATCCCAAGTGCAATTATACACATGATGAATGTAGGAGTGAGGAAGAGCCAGTTGTGAGTGTGGGGGAAGTTCGTGAGGCAGTAGGTAAAATGAAAGGGGGTAAGGCAGCCGGGATTGATGGGATAAAGATAGAAATGTTAAAAGCAGGTGGGGATATAGTTTTGGAGTGGTTGGTGCAATTATTTAATAAATGTATGGAAGAGGGTAAGGTACCTAGGGATTGTCAGAGAGCATGCATAGTTCCTTTGTATAAAGGCAAAGGGGACAAAAGAGAGTGCAAAAATTATAGGGGGATAAGTTTGTTGAGAGTACCTGGTAAAGTGTATGGAAGAGTTATTACTGAAAGAATTAAGAGTAAGACGGAGAATAGGATAGCAGATGAACAAGGAGGCTTTAGGAAAGGTAGGGGGTGTGTGGACCAGGTGTTTACAGTGAAACACATAAGTGAACAGTATTTAGATAAGGCTAAAGAGGTCTTTGTGGCATTTATGGATTTGGAAAAGGCGTATGACAGGGTGGATAGGGGGGCAATGTGGCAGATGTTGCAGGTGTATGGTGTAGGAGGTAGGTTACTGAAAGCAGTGAAGAGTTTTTACGAGGATAGTGAGGCTCAAGTTAGAGTATGTAGGAAAGAGGGAAATTATTTCCCAGTAAAAGTAGGCCTAGACAAGGATGTGTGATGTCACCGTGGTTGTTTAATATATTTATAGATGGGGTTGTAAGAGAAGTAAATGCGAGGGTCTTGGCAAGAGGCGTGGAGTTAAAGATAAAGAATCGCACACAAAGTGGGAGTTGTCACAGTTGCTCTTTGCTGATGACACTGTGCTCTTTGGAGATTCTGAAGAGAATGTTGCAGAGATTGGTGGATGAATTTGGTAGGGTATGCAAAAGAAGAAAATTAAAAGTGAATACAGGAAAGAGTAAGGTTATGAGGATAACAAAAAGATTAGGTGATGAAAGATTGGATATCAGATTGGAGGGAGAGGGTATGGAGGAGGTGAATGTATTCAGATATTTGGGAGTGGACGTGTCAGCGGATGGGTCTATGAAAGATGAGGTGAATCATAGAATTGATGAGGGGAAAAGGGTGAGTGGTGCACTTAGGAGTCTGTGGAGACAAAGAACTTTGTCCTTGGAGGCAAAGAGGGGAATGTATGGAGTATAGTTTTACCAACGCTCTATATGGGTGTGAAGCATGGGTGATGAATGTTGCAGCGAGGAAAGGCTGGAGGCAGTGGAGATGTCATGTCTGAGGGCAATGTGTGGTGTGAATATAATGCAGAGAATTCGTAGTTTGGAAGTTAGGAGGAGGTGCGGGATACCAAAACTGTTGTCCAGAGGGCTGAGGAAGGGTTGTTGAGGTGGTTCGGACATGTAGAGAGAATGGAGCGAAACAGAATGACTTCAAGAGTGTATCAGTCTGTAGTGGAAGGAAGGCGGGGTAGGGGTCGCCTAGGAAAGGTTGGAGGGAGGTGGTAAAGGAGGTTTTGTGTGTGAGGGCTTGGACTTCCAGCAGGCATGCGTGAGCGAGTTGATAGGAGTGAATGGAGACAAATGGTTTTTAATACTTGACGTGCTGTTGGAGTGTGAGCAAAGTAACATTTATGAAGGGGTTCAGGGAAACCGGCAGGCCGGACTTGAGTCCTGGAGATGGGAAGTACAGTGCCTGCACTCTGAAGGAGGGGTGTTAATGTTGCAGTTTAAAAACTGTAGTGTAAAGCACCCTTCTGGTAAGACAGTGATGGAGTGAATGATGGTGAAAGTTTTTCTTTTTTGGGCCACCCTGCCTTGGTGGGAATCGGCCAGTGTGATAATAAAAAAAAATAAAAAATGAATGTGTTAGTGATTGATAATTGTGAAAGTACACTAATTAATAAAGAAAGTGAAGGAATAACCTTGTTGCACTACCATGATAAAAATTTTTGTTGGAAGTTCATAGGAGCATCATAGCATATACTTTTTTGTCATCGATACTGAGGCTGGGAGACAACACTCTCATCTTCGCATTGGACACACTTGTCTAACTCATGGGTATCTCATGGAGAGGCGTCCTGTTCCACTTTGTGAGAATAGTTTAGTTCCTGTTTCAATTTCCCACATTCTACTGAACTGACCTGTCTATCAACGAGCACACAGAATTTTTCTCCGACACTGTCACTGCTCTAATGCCCTTACTTCATTTTTCCTCCTTGCTGACAGACCCACCTTTGACACAGAGTCCCTCTTTGACTTTTTGATATTATTATTATTATTATAATCAAAAAGAAGCGCTAAGCCACAAGGGCTATACAGCGCTGCAGGGTAGGGAAGGAAGCAAGGGAATTGGATGGCAGAAGGGAGGGGGGATGATCAGCAGGTTACAGAAAACAGCGGGGCAGGGGATAGTACGGGGGTAGAGGGTAGCAAGAGATACAAGTAGAAAGGGCTGAAAGTATCAGAATTTGTGAAGTAAGTCAGTCGTTGTCAAAAAGTCAATGAGAGAGTCCGGATGAAAGGTGGGTCCATCAGCGAGAAGGGAAGGTAAAGAGAGAGCAGCGGGGCGAAGACGACGACAGGTAAATTCTGCGTGCTCGTTGATAAAGTTGGCAGTCCAACAGAATGTGGCTGACTGATAATGGAGCTTGGCAATTCTCCAGAGAGGAGCAAGACGCCTCTCCATGAGATATCCATGAGTAAGACGAGTATGGCCAATGCGAAGACGGGAGAGAGTAGTCTCCCAACCTCGACACTTGTTGCCGAGCATAGTAGACCAACGTTGTATGCCAACTGGTGTGAGTTGGAAGATATACGAACAATGTCCGAACATGGTAATACTACTAAGAAAACTGTAGTCATGTACTGCTGACGCGCGCAGCAGTGTCTGCCTGTTCATTGGCCCTGTACGTCAACATGACCAGGGACCCAACAAAAAACAATATCTTTAGTTTTTGAAAAAGATGGGCGTAGCCAAAGGGGATAGGGAGGACAAGGGTGAGGTGTATAAAATTTTTTGTAACCCGTAAACAAAGGGATCAAAACCACAAAGATGACACGGGCAAGATAAATAGGGATAAGGCTGAAAGGAGGCAAAAAAATCACAGTAAAAAACTAGCTGAAGATAGAAATGCCCTTGTACAAACGCTGTCCAAAAACACTGCTGCGAACCTACGCCGTCGAAGCTTAGAGCCTCGTGTACACACAATGGCATAAATAAGTGAAAAGGGGCAAAAAAAAGAGAGCGGGAAGCGACCGTAGACATTTTGGGTTTTCGAGCAAGGGAGGGAGAAAGAACAACTCAACAGCGGAACTTCCAGGGGGTGGGGAAAATGAGATCTACATTACAAGAAAGGGGGTATTTGAAGAAAAGACAGAGCGAAGGGGCAAGAAAAAGGGAGGGAGTAAGCAGGGGCGGCGAACAAATAAAATGTCTACAAATATCGTGACCATTCTATAAAGGGAAGGATTGCGGAGATCATGAGAGCGACTAGTGCGCAGGCAATGGGCATCACGGCGATGGGAAAGGAGGGAACTTCGTTTTCTGCAAATTTTTCACAGGGGAAGAGCGAAAAGCACCAAGGCAAAAACGAACCCTTTGTGATGAATGGGTTTTAAGGGCTAAGGAGTAGCCGGAATGCCGCGAATAGATCGGGTCCCATAACAAGTTTCGATAAAATAAGGGTGGAATGTGGGTAAAAAGGAGGGTTGACATCAGCTCCCCACAAAGATGAGCAAGGTTTAAAAAAGGGTTCAGCCGGCTGTGACAATTCCTTTCAGAGAGGTAATTGAGGTTTCCAGATAACCACGATCAAAGAGGAGGCCCAGAAACTTGACTGAATCACTTCAGGGATACGTGACCCAAGAGGACAAAGATAAACAAGATGACAGAGGTCTAGTAAAGGATTTGGGGGGTTTTTAGTGCAAAAAATTAAACCCATGTTGGGGGCCCCAAATTTGGAAACACGGTACTGAAAGCTGGAGAAAAAACGAAGGGGGGTGACAGTCGGGGCGCCGCACAGGCAATAGCGAAGTCATCAACATAGAGTGATGACCAAATTTTTATAAAAGACTAAGGCCAAATCATTAATACAAGGAAAAAAGTTTTGGCCAAACACATCCGGGGGGACACCTTCAGTTTGGGGACAAAGTCCGGGGGAGCACATTTTTTTAAAACCCAACACGGAAATCCCTGTCAGTTAAAAAGTTTTTAAGGGAAAGGGATGGTAATGCCTCAACCCCAAGGGAGTGGCTTCAAAATAAAACCCTCCAAGTTGTGTCAATCCCTTCTCAAGGTCAAAAAATAGGGCAAAACTAGGGGTTTTATTCGCAAAGGCATTACGAACAACGTACCAAGCGCAGAAGGGGGTCAAGGGGAAAACTCCCTTACGAAACCCCAATTGACGAGGGGGAAGACTTTTTGGTGTCCTAAATACCACCTAAACTCTTTTTTACTAGACTTCCATTATTTTTTAAAACGCACGGTAAGGCAAGGGGACGTAGTGGAGGTTTCAGTCCCTAGGCCCGGGTTTTGGCGGAAAGGGAGAACAATGGGTTTTCCACAGCGTGGAAGAACTCCTTGTGCCCAAAAAAGATTGTAAAGGGGCGTAATAGGACTGCAAGGGCGACTGATGTTAAATGTTTGTAGCAACGAATATGAAATGTTTCGCCCCGGGGGCCCCAGCTGCCGATGATCCCCCAAGTAGAGTGTTTGCCTCCAGTCCTTGAAGTGTAAAAAGGCACTTTAAAAGCCCTTTGGGGAAAGAAAAATCCAAGGGCTAACTCCGGAATTTTTGGGAAAAAAATGGGGGCCTAAAATGGAGTCCCGGAAATTTACGGCCCCAAAGGGCCCTTTTCAGGGCAAACTATGGGGCAAACAACAGGAACCCCAGAAAAGGGGGCCTTTCGGAGAATTTTCCCCAAATTTTGTTTTTTTAGAATTGAGAAGCGGTGAGGGGAGACAAAGAGGTTTTTAGCTCACGTGAGGCGGGGAGACCTTCTTTTAAAAAAGGGGAGCGTTGTGAGAAAAGGGCCCCCATGCCCGTTAAATACCACGGGGGGGGCCCCCAAAGGGGAGGTTTGGGTTTGGGGAAAATGAAAAGGGGGAAAAGAGGAAAAAGGGGGAAAAGTTGTAGGACAAAGGGCCCTTAAAAAAGTCGGGGAGAAAGGGCCAAGGTAAATGCCGGGGGGGAAAGGTGGGGTTGGGGGGTGGAAAAAGGAAAAAGAGCAGAACCGGGGAGAACAAAAAGAAAGTCCAAATTGCAGGAAGAAAAAACGAAGCACAAGGGTTACCCGGTTGGGGGGTTGGTCCAATTTAAAACAGGGGAGGGGGTGGGGGGCAAAAAAGCCCTCAACTAATTCCCAGGGAATCACAGTAGACCCCCCCAAGGAAATGGGGGCTTTAAAACCCAAGTAACAAATCGGTGGCGGTAATGACGAAAAAAGGGAAAGGAAAAATCCGGAATAGATAACCCGAGAAGGAGAGAGAATAAAGAACAAGCGATCACCTATGAATGGATACGGGCGCTGGAATGCAGCGAAGAATAAATAAATAGCTGATGGTACGGAAATAGTGCGGAGAAAAGGCACTTTCATTAAAGGGGCCCCTCGGAAAAGGATCTGAAAAATACAAAAAATTATAGCCCCGAGATGTGAAGAAATAACACAAGTGTAATTTTGGTTCCCGTAAGAAAAACCCAAAAAGGGCAAACGGGAGGGAACATCTGAAAACTCACCCCCATACCCCTGAGGGGCCCCGAAAATTTTTCCACTGAAAAAAAAAGGCCCTGATTGGGAAATAAAGATACTTGAAACCCAGGGAAGGGGCCACGGACTAGAAAGGGGGAGAAAATCCACAGCGGAGGCAGTGGAAATGTTCAACGCGAAGGAAAGGTCCCTGTGAAGAAGGGGTTGCGCAGATGGAGCAAGGAAAAGAAAGAGCGGGAAAGGGGGATCATTCCCCTATGGTTTTTGGGCTCTGCCAAAAAATATTTAGAGATTGCTTCAATGTTTCGGAATTCAGAGATGTCGTATGGGGACAATATTGGGGAAGGAGGGGAGGGTGAGTAAAATTTGGAACTGTTTGGGCTGTACCCAAAGGGAGGGGGGGGGGAAAGGGGGAGGGAACGGAGAAGCGTGGCAGGGGGCAGAAGAGACAAACCTGGGGGGTGGCAGAAGAGGGAAGAAATTGGGAGGGAACAGGGGGAAGGTACTTTCAGGGGGAGGGGGAACCCCCTGCACTTTAACTGAGCCAGTGAAAAGGGGAAAACTAGGGGCAAGACAGGGAGGTAAAAAAAGGGGGGTGGAAAATGGTAGGAGGTGTTACCGGCCTTTTTTTAGACTTTTGGAAGTAGAGGGACGATTTTTAAGAGGGTCGTCGAGGTCTCGCGATACTGAGGCTTTAAAAAAAAAAACTCGAAAAAGCGGATTTAAAGAGGCGTTTAAGTAGGGACGCGGCCAGGGAAACAAAAGGGTTAGAACAGGAGGATTATGGGGGAGGGGAACCACAAGGGGGTGAGAAGATGGATACCGAAGTGGGGGGCGTTTTAAACACGGGAATAAAAACACTGGGGTCTCCCTTGGGGGCGGGGATAGAAACTGCCATGGCATAAAAGGGGGACCTTTTGTCCCCCTTTGAGGAAAGTTTCCCGCTCGTTTAAAAAAACCTGACAACGGGGAGAGTACGAAAGGGGGGCCCATGACATTTAAGGGAAAAGGGAGATCGATTGCAAACGTATTAGAAGGTCATCGCACCAAGACTGGGTTCGGCCCATAGACTCAAATTTCGCGGATCCAAATCGCCACAATTTCTAAACTGTTTGGTGTAGGGATCCCTTTCGAACTGTAACCGAGTCCGCTATATAAACGGGGGATGGGATCCGCTGTCAAATTAAAAAAGCCACATGCAGGGAATCGCTCCCCCACGGGGGGGAGGGAAAAACTTAAAATTTTCCTGGGATTTGGGGGATCTTGGAGTTTCCACTGTTCAAAAAAGTCGGTGCCACATTCTGGAAATTTGTTGAACATGGGGGGCAGAAAACGGTAACCCCTACAAAATTTAGGGAAGAGTTTTTCGGGGGACAGGAACATATCATATGGAAAGACGAGAGAGCTCACGAGCCGGGTAGCATTCTGTACGGGAATGACGCGACCGCTCTTTAAAAGGGATGAAAAGAAATATCTTTACCAAAATGGGGTAGGAGTCCTTGCCAAAACATGGTCAGAAAGATAGGCAGAGAGGAATTGGCTTTTAAGTGAAAATTTTAATCCACTGTTTTAGTCTGAAAAATGAGCGTGGGAAAAGGGAGTGAAGGGCGTGTCGATCTTTCTGAGAAAAACGAGAAGGGAAAGGGGGAGAAGTACTCAGCAGGTAATTGTCTTGACGTTTAGGTGGGACCAGAGTTGGCCCACTGGAAGGGTCGGGGATTTGAAAATTGCCGCACCGTAAGGGGAAGGCCGAAGCATAGCAGAGGAGAGCGAAGGGCTATAAACGAAGGAGCAGTCGAGGGCCCAGACCTGAAGCGGTGGAAACACACCGGCAATAAAGGACAGAGGCATGAGAATGTCTGAAGAGTGGTCCAAAGACAGGGGGGGTCAAACGGGGTGCGGTATCAAAAAGGGCCCGGGGGTACCAGGTTCATGGACAGGGCTCCCCCCCCCTGGTTAGGTTACTTCTTTCTTTTTTTTTTAAGAAAAAAAAAGAAAGAAGAAAAAAAAAAAAAAAAAAAAGAAAAAAAAAGGGGGACCGGGGGGATAGTTCCTAGGGAATAAAGGGCAGAAATCCCCCCGCGCCCAAAGGACCGACACCGCAGTAGCGCAGAACAGCATGGAACCCGGCCCTACCCTACCCTTTATGCCCGTAAACCAGCAAACTGGGGAAACAAACCCCACTTTGCCAGCTACCTCGGTGGACAAAAAAGGGGGGGCCGGAATCCGCCCCAAAGATACCCCTTCAGCCCCCCCCCGGAATCCGAAAGGTGGCTTTCCCAAAATACACCCTCGCCCAAAGACACCCAAAGTACTCCGGGGTACCGGGGAGGGTCGGGGCATCCCTAGGGGAATCCAGATTCCCACGGCAAAATACGCCCCCCCCGCCAAAAAAACCTCAACGGGAAAGGGGGGACCCCCCGGGGTTTCCCTTTTCCCCCACCTAGGAAAATACGCGCCGTGGGAAAAACACGAAGGGTAAAAAGGGAAGGGGAAAAGGGAGGGGTTAGGGGGAGGAGGAGGAAGGAAAAAGGGGGGGAGGGAGGAGGGTAGGGGGGGGGAGAATGGGGGGGGAATTTGGTTTGTCTGAGGAAAAAGACCGACGGCTAAATTTTCCTCAACCAAAGCCTCTTCACCACGCCAAGGGGCCCCCCTTAAAAGGGACTTTTTTTGGGTAGCAATTATTTATTACACAAACTTTTATAATCCCCCCCTTTAGCACCCTCCCGCCCCCCCTAACTTTACCTTTTTTTGTCATCTCCACCCTCATTAACCTTTGATCCGCACTTCCTACCCTGCATGCTGTATGACCCTGGTAGGGTTAAACTTTCCTTTTTATTATAATAATAAAATCACCAAATGGACATAACCCCAGGTCATCAAACCTTTTAAAAACCCAAAAATGACAACAGCAATAGAGGACTACAGACCCTGGGGTTGTTGAAATTCTTAACCCACCCATAACAACAGGACATGGTGTTTAATCTGAGTTTAGTTATTTTGCTCATTTTTCACAGCTTTTGGGCTAGCGGGTACTCATATTATGGTGGGTATTACCTTGAAAATATTTATTTGCTGAAAAATCTTGTCTTATGGGACATAATATTTTTCCCCCCCAGGTGACTGTGGAGCAGATGATAATTATGGAACTGCCTTTTCATATGCTTGCCCCAAGTTTGTACAGGGTCACATCAATCCTCCCCACACGTTTTGCATCAACAAGCAATGACAACCATAATGTAATGGATAGAAACTTTATTTTTTTGAGCCATGTTAAATTACAATGCTTTAAACCTGCCATTTTTGGGGGTCTAAGGTTTGAAACCCCTATTTTTCCCCATATATTCTTCAGTTAATTTAACATGCCTTTTTTTAATACACACCATTTCAGGAACATGACTGTGTTAATCGATGGCCAACTGTACATAAATTATCTGTACCATTTCCTTAATTACTATTTTTAGGCCATTAATTTCTCATTTCTTAATCTTTATCTTTTCATTTTTGGGCATTTTAACAACTACTGCACTTGCTACAGTTACAATGTCTGCACAAATCCGGATGTACAGATTCTTATCTGTGGGAAGTGCAATGGCTGCATTTTAAAAGAAGGGTTTGGATATCTGCTGTTTGGAGTGACATCTAAACTGCTGTATCTATGCATCTTTGCAAAGACTGATTATGTGTAAAAGGGATAGGGGAAAGTATTTCTTTTTTTTTTTTTGGGCCACCCTACCTCGGTGTGAGATGGCCAGCTTTAAAAAAAAATCTAGCAATGATGACCACAGGGGATGTGTTCTAATATAGAAGAAAATATAAGTGAGAAGGTTTCCCCAAATTAACTCTTAAACTGTCCAAACATGATCTATTTTCACGCGCGTAGCGCTCCACCCAAAATTTCTCCATTTGAAAGCATGTAAAAAAAAGTAGATCTACGTTCAGAGTGCTACACATGTGAACGTAGATCTACGTTTGGACATTTTTAAGGGTTAATGACATTGATAATGTGTAGACAGTTGCTTTAATGCTCATCACCATTATTACCAAGGCCATTGAACTATCACAATTATTACTAAGACCACTGAACTATCTTAACCCTTTGACTGTCGCGCCCCCCAATCCTGAGGTGTCTCCTGGTGTCGCAAAATTTAAAAAAAAAAAAAAATAATTTTTTCTTATGAAATGATAGAGAATCTTTTCCCAAATTTGTAATGCCCACCAAAAAAAAAACGAAATTTGATGGAAAACTGACGGAATTACGCTCTCCCCGAAGTTAGCGACCTCGGTGATATTAACAAATTGGCGATTTCGCCCAATTTGAGCCCTATTTTCAGCTAATTCCATTGTTCCAGTGGACCAAACTCATAGCTATTTCTTTAGAACTCCATTTTTTTCTATTGTTTGAGTACAAGAAACTGCCCTTTTTACCTTTTTCAACTACCCAATAATGTGGCCAGAAATTTGCAATTTGGCCAATTTCACGAAAATTAAAAAATGTGACAATTCAAAAAAAGGTCCAGAATGAAAAATGCAGACATTCCTGGCTCATCGTCACATCTCCCCGGCCCCTCTGGGTATTACTTTGCTTTCTATTTTTAATTTTTATTCAAACAAAAATAGAAGATTTAGTGTTATGAGACTACTGCAATATTGTAATAATTGTACAAATAATGTCAACCCATTCATGACTGCTTTTTTAGAATGGCTAGTTGGACATTTATTTGTTTACTTTTGAACACTGGTAAAAATCAAACATTTCCCCTACTTTGAGCTCCATTTCAAGGTTCTTTTTATAGTAAACCAATCAAAATCACCTCTATTCTATAATATGTTTTCCTTCTATCAACTGAGACTAAAAAACGAGAATACAATCATAAATACTGTACAGAAATAGACCACAAAGTTGGCAAATTTTTAAATTTAAAAAAATGTTCAGTTTTTTTTTTTTTCATTATGCACTGGTGCTCCAGGATTTTTTTTATATGGTGCACACTTGGCAGACGATGCACCATTCCCCCCCAAAGAAAAGCAGGGGTGTCACTTAGCACATTAAGAGACCAAAACAATAAGTGTCAGGGGCCCGAGACTGTTCAACTGCCTCCCAGCACACATAAGGGGGATTACCAACAGACCCCTGGCAGTCTTCAAGCTGGCACTGGACAAGCACCTAAAGTCGTTCCTGATCAGCCCGGGCTGTGGCTCGTACGTTGGTTTGCGTGCAGCCAGCAGCAACAGCCTGGTTGATCAGGCTCTGATCCACCAGGAGGCCTGGTCACAGACCAGGCCGCGGGGGCGTTGACCCCCGGAACTCTCTCCAGGTAAACTCCAGGTAAACTGACCACACAGACCCATTCTCTCACATGTGGGCCTACAGCTTTCTCCTGCTCGATTTGAAGCGCAAAATTTATGGGTATATATACGTCAAACACGTTACCTCGTAAGACGTATATATATGGCTGAAACAGCAAAAGGGTTAAAACCTTATCAAAAATTAACAGATTTGCACTCAATATTAAAGTCAGAGAAGGGCAAGCAGGAGTGAGTTATTGTTATGAATTAACTCATTTTAAAAAACGTATTGAAATAACTAAAACATTTAAAAAATTGTCAAAATTTTAAAAATTTAACTTAAGTGAACATATAATTTTTTACCACATTGATGGTTCACCCGAAGTAGGATATTATGATGGAATTATATTTATAAATGCAGATTCTACAAGGAATTAAAAACAGCAAAAATTAAAAATAAAGTCATACCTGTGCATTTTTAAGTTAACATTGAAGGCATCTTCACTGTAAGTATCAACATAGGCCCACTGTAGGTAACTCATGTATTCCTTCTCAAACTCCTCTGTAGTAACTTCATGAAAAATGCTGCTCCCACTGTTTTGCTGTAAAAAAAATTTTTTATTATATTTTGATAAATACAGGATTTTTTTTTTCCTCAACAAGTCGGCCGTCTCCCCCAAGGCAGGGTGACCAAAAATAAAGAAAATTCCCAAAAAGAAAATATTTTTCTTTAACCATCAACACCTTCACCCACCCACACACAATCACTGTCTTTGCAGAGGCGCTCAGAATACAACAGTTCAGAAGCATGTACGTAAAAAGATACACAACCTATCCTCCAAACTGCCCAAAATCCCAAACCCCCCCTTTAAAGTGCAGGCATTGTACTTCCCATTTCCAGGACTTAGTCTGGCTATATAAAATAACTGGTTTCCCCGAATCCCCCCACTAAATATTACCTGCTCACACTCCAAAAAAGTCGTCAGGTCCCAAATACCCTTTTTCTCCATTCACTCCTATCTAACATGCTCATGCACGCTTGCTGGGTCCAAGCCCCTCACCCACAAAACCTCCTTTAATCCTCCCTCCCAAACCTTTCAAGGACAACCCCTACCCCACCCTTTCCCTTCCCCCACGATTTATAGGCTCTCCATGTCATTCTACTTTGATCCATTCTCTCTAAATGACCAAACCACCTCAAGAACCCCTCTTCAGCCCCCTGTCTAATACATTTATTAACTCTACACCTCCTAATTTCCACACTCCAAATTTTCTGTATAATATTCACACCACACATTGCCCTTAGACAGGACATCTCCACTGCCTCCAACTGCCTCCTTGCTGAAGCATTTACAACCCAAGTTTCACACCCATATAAGAGTGTTGGTACTACCATACTTTCATACATTCACTTCTCTGCCTCCATAGATAACATTTTTTGTCTCCACATATACCTCAACGCACCACTAGCCTTTTTTCTTTCATCAATTCTACGATTAACCTCATCCTTCATAAATCCATCCGCTGACACGTCAACTCCTAAATATCCGAAAACATTCAGATATAAATACAGTGGACCCCCGCATAATGATTACCTCCGAATGCGACCAATTATGTAAGTGTATTTATGTAAGTGCGTTTGTACGTGTATGTTTGGGGGTCTGAAATGGACTAATCTACTTCACAATATTTCTTATGGGAACAAATTCGGTCAGTACTGGCACCTGAACATACTTCTGGAGTGAAAAAAAATCGTTAACCGGGGGTCCACTGTATTGGCAATTTGGAGGGATATACTGTGTATTTTTATACATATATACTTCTAAACTGTTGTATTCTGGGCACCTCTGCAAAAACTGATTATGTGTGAGTGAGGTGAAAGTGTTGAATGATGATGAAAGTATTTTCTGCCTTGGTGGGAGACGGCCGACTTGTTGAAAAAATAAAAAAATAAAATAAATATTAAAAAAAATTAACAAAACAATCAATAACCGAGCATCCAGTATTACAAGCACATAAAGGTACAACAGTTATGTAATTTTTTTTTTTTTAACAAGTCGGCTGTCTCCCACCGAAGCAGGGTGACCCAAAAAGAAAGAAAATCCCCAAAGAGAAAATACTTTCATCATCATTCAACACTTTCACTTCACTCACACATAATCATTGTTTTTGCAGAGGTGCTCAGAACACAACAGTTTAGAAGCATATATGTATAAAGATACACAACATATTCCTTCAAACTGCCAATATCCCAAACCCCTCCTTTAAAGTGCAGGCATTGTACTTCCCATTTCCAGGACTCAAGTCCGGCTATATAAAAATAACAGGTTTCCCTGAATCCCCATATACAGTACTTATTTTAAAAAATCAGCCATTATTTTAATCAATCAGCATATTTTGTGGTTGAGAAAGGATAGAAATCTTGTACAATGCACCCCTCGAAGGGCATGAGTAAACTGCAAATTTGAGGTGCTAGTTAGGACCTACCATAACTGGGTTAGAATAGTGAACTTCCAATTACAACACTTAGCCTGCTCATGGTATGAATTGTAGCACGAGCCTGGCCTTCACTGCCCATACAAAACTGAGAATCCGATGGGGCTACCACCAATGAAGTAGACATCACTAGATGTTGAAGAGCCATGAGGACAGGATATACATTAGTTCAAGAGTGAGGAGAAGCACTGACTGGAAGGGTCTTTGACCTAACAGAATATTGTAAAATCAACACTTCGTAGTTTTTGACACGTGTATACAGTGGACCCCTGGTTAACGATATTTTTTCATTCCAGAAGTATGTTCAGGTGCCAGTACTGACCGAATTTGTTCCCATAAGGAATATTGTGAAGTAGATTAGTCCATTTCAGACCCCCAAACATACACGTACAAACGCACTTACATAAATACACTTACATAATTGGTCGCATTGGGAGGTGATCGTTAAGCGGGGGTCCACTGTACATCAGGACTGGCTGTAATGTTCTTGGATTCTTATGAAAGAAAATTAGCACATGACAGTATCAGTAAGAGATGCTCATGTAACCACAATAACTGGCCAAAGTGAAAAGATATAGCAGAGAAATAGGAATGAAATACAAGCTCACAGAGGTCTACAAGTTGCATCTGACAATACAGCTAACAAGCACAACACACAGCTAGTGTACAGCTGTGGGGGGACCTATTCCACAGCAGAGGCTTGTACATGGACAGAATGTCCAAGAACAGAGGGCAGAACCCACTTGGGGTGAAAATTGCAAGGATGACACTATTCCTTCTAGGCAGCAGGTTGGTAGACAACAACCACCCAGGGAGGTACTACAGTCCTGCCAAGCAAGTGTAAAATGAAAGCCTGTAATTGTTTTACATGATGGTAGGATTGCTGGTGTCCTTTTTTCCATCTTATAAACGTGCAAGATTTCAGGTTCGTCTTGCTACTTCTACTTACACTTAGGTCACACTACACACACATGTACAAGCATATTACATGTATATATACACACTCCTTTGGGTTTTCTTCTATTTTTTTCTAGTTCTTATTTTTGTTTATTTTATCTTATCTCCATGGGAAAGTGGAACAGAATTCTTCCTCCGTAAGCTATGCATGTTGTAAGAGGCGACTAAAATGCCAGGAGCAAGAGGCTAGTAACCCCTTCTCCTGTATAAATTACTAAATTTAAAAAGAGAAACTTTTGTTTTTCTTTTTGAACCACCCTGCCTTGGTGAGATACGGCCAGTTTGTTTAAAGAAGAGACTATTCCCATCACAATTCCCTTCCAAAAAAGCCACCCAATACATGGTCTCTCAGACCATTCACCAAGCTTAGGTGTGGTCATTCACTTCAAGTGCCATCAAAATAGTAGCAGCTGTAAGGAGAAGCAGCAGCTAAGGCAACACTTCAACAGGCTAGGATCTAAGCAAGACATGCACAACACTTGGGTATTGTTATCTGCCAAAACACTGAAAGAAATTGAGGTAATTTTGAGGTTTTCAGTCCCTCAGCCTTCATAAAAGGGAGTGAACACCTCAAAATTATGTTTCTGCTTCTTCCACTTTCTCTAGTATTAAATCAGCTCTGTTCACCTAAAGAAGCCTGATGTGCATGTGAAACAGTCTGGCAAATAAAGACACCAAAGAGTTGCCTGTGTGTCTCATTCTCATTTGCCAGTATAATAAACCATAAATAATATAAGACCTGCAGTGGTGGTTATGGAGGAATCCTTATGGGATGTCTACAGGAATGACTGCCAGCTTCCCAGGAAACAACAGGAGCTGGCCTACATCTTAATTCATTCCAATATGCTTAGCATTTTTAACAAATTCAAAATTTATGTTGACCAAAAGACTTACTGACAAATCATTTTCGCTGACAGAAGAGAGAATGGTTGCATCGCCAGTTTTACTTCCACTGCTGTTACTATCCAACCTGATAGCAGATATATCAGGAAGCTCAGGGAGGACAACTCCAGTTATATCCAACTTGCGACCACCAGGAGCCAAACCTCCCACCAGTGTAGTGCTGAGGATACATAAATTATACAATGTAGAGCACTAAACATTATCCTTTATATACTGCATTATAATTTTTTCTTCTTAACATGCAGAGGCACTCAGATACGACAGTTTAGACATCCCTCCAAACTGCCAATATCTTAAACCCCTCCTTTAATTAAAGTGCAGGCATTGTGCTTCCCATTTCCAAGACTCAAGTCCGGCTAACTGGTTTCCCTGAATCCCTTCACAAAATATATTACCCTGCTCACACTCCAACAGCTCGTCAGATCCCAAAAACCATTCATCTCCATTCACTCCTATCTAACACGCACACGCACGCTTGCTGGAAGTCCAAGCCCCTCGCCCACAAAACCCCCTTTACCCCCTCCCTCCAACCTTTTCAGGGACAACCCTTACCCCACCTTCCTTATTTGAAAGGATCCCTTTGAACAAAGAAATTATGCAGGATTTATAAAATTGAATAAGACTGCTGTGCTTAAGAGGACTATAAAGGAATAGATCTAAAACATAATAAAGATAAAAGGGGTAACAGAGAAATTCTGGAAAGCCTACACTGCGGTAAAGATGGTAGTCGCAGACTTTCAATTGCAAGGACGCCGGTTCAGGCCCTATAAGTTTTACACATTTTCTTAATGTCACAAAATGGTGAGAGTCTTTTCAGAGCTTTAAAACTATTCAAGGGTATGAAATATATATATGTATATAGCAGTATAAATTTGAACTGAATTCTGTTAAACATTTTACTTAATCCTGAATTATGTCTGGCCCATCTACACAGATGCTTGGACTGTAACTAAAAGGTCCCACTTCTAACAAATGCCTCATTGGTATCAAGTGTAGTAAATACTACTTGTGAAAACATCACCAGTTCAAGTAAAAAGGTAATTTATGAGTATAGTATTTTATAACAAATTCTGACGCAGTTTTGACCGGCTTGCCTGAAGACAGTTACTATACTGTACTTGTAAACAGGTTGACAGCATCAGGTCGCTAAGCAAATTTGCTTTCACTGCAATATACACTCAAAAGGATGTCCAGGAAAAATTAGCTTTTAAAATGAATGAAGGATAGAGAAAGCTAATCACTACTTTAATGAAAATTGTTAAATGTGATATCTCATTCCAGAAGAATGTTCATACACTATTAAGAGATAACATTTAAAACTCACATACTGGATTTCCAGCTAATGCATCATATTAATAATATGAACCAAACAAACCAGGGGAGCCTAGATTCAGTTATTGCCAAGAGAAGGATGCCAAATACTGGGTCTCAAAGAGATACCAACCACAGGCATTCACTTAAATGTAAACTGACAGCACAATAAGCTGCATTAAGCCTCCAAAATGGACTATACAGATTAATATTTTTTATATGTACAGTACCATTTTTTTTTTTAACCCAACAGCCATCTTCTAACAAGACAGGATGACCCAGAGAAGAAAACACATTCGACAATATTCACTTAATTGCCATCTTTCCAGAAGTGTGCAGACATCACAGTCAGATTACCCTCTGATTGCAACATTCCCACCCCTTCTTCGGAATGCTGGCACCGCTCTTCCCACCTCCAGGACTCGAGTCTGGTTAACCAGTCTTCCAGAATCTCTTCAAAATGTTACCTTGCCTCCAACAGCACACCTATTAAAAACTACTTGTCTCCATGCACTTTTATCTAACACACTCACACAAGCCTGTTAGATGTTCAAACCCCTAAAATTCAGAGCCTCTTGTATCCCCTTCCTCCATCCATTTCCTGAGATGACCCTTTTTTCTCTTCCCTTCCACCCCAGAGTTATACATTCTCTCCAACCTTTCCCTCTCATCCTCTCTATATGCCCATACCATGACACTGCCTCCTCAGCCCTCTGAATTATACCCTTGGTCACTCCACATTTTTCTTTGATTTTTATGCTCTGAATTCTCTGCATGATATTCATATCACACACTGCTCTCAAAGATGGCACCTCTGCTGCCTTCAGCCTCCTTTTCATTAAAGCAAAAAATGGACGACTGAATTTAATTTCAATAAATGTCATGTAATGGAAATGGGAGAAAGGAAAATTAGAGGAAACCAGTTAGCCAGACTATATCCTAGAGGTAGGATATACAGTGTCTGCACACCACAGGGGTGGGGATGTTGCAGTTCGATAAGTCACTTGAATTGTCATGTGTGCATTTATGGCTACTGAAGGAATGATGGTAGTTTCCTTTTTTGGTTACTACCTTGGTAGGAGGCTGCATGTGTTAAAAAATAGAAAAGAGTAATTACTTACCTGAAAACATTCTCATAATTCTTTACAGCAGTTAAATCTGAGAGCATGGTGGCATTTAGAACAGTAGAGTGTAATTTAGCATTGCTAGCCTGTATAGATGAAGCCCTGGATGACTTCTTTGCATCTAGTTTATTTGATTTTGATTCTAGATTAGCTTGTGGCAAAAGAGAAGCTCCTTGATGGCTAGCCTGACTTCCTGATCCTGATATTTTTAGCACACTTGAAGATCGACTTGTGGGGCCAAGTTTTGATGCATGTGTTGATCTGTGAAACAGAGTCAGTTGAATCCATTATACATAATTATTCACCACATATATATCAGCTACTGAATAAAATTACATTGCTTTATAAATCTCAAGTTAGACAAAATCAACAGAAAATTAAAAAACAAAATACGTATATATGATTCACAATTATACTGACAAGCTACTGTGATGCAAGCTCAGACTGTTAGAAGCTACAGAGACGAACGATGTCACCCTAATCCTTAAACCCGACAAAATACTGTTAGTAGATATAAAGTGTTGGCATCATAAGCCAGAAACAATTCAGTTTCAATTATGTCAATTCTTGAAATATTTTCTTAATATGGATTTCATAAAATTGTTTTTTTTACAGTAAATTTTTACAAGCTGTACATATCTAAAAGTAATAATAAAAACATCATCCCAACAGCATTTCTGCATCATGTGCAGGTATTGGCTTAATGTCCACTGCTCATTAAAAATTATTTGAGACACTATTTTAATACTACTCCCATGGGAATTTTGCTACTTGAAAATATTCAATGAAAACAGTCAAATGACCAGATGCTGATGTTTTGTATTTTCTAAGTTAGCTAGTAAACCTCATTAAACTGTTTGTGTGTTTTATTCATCCTTCCCCATTTTTTTTTTTGCAAAGACTGTATAAGAGAAATGTTAAGTGCTTTCATTTATCCACAATATTTCTTCAACATGCAACTAAAGCCTGTATCTTTCCTTACCTCACAGGCTTTGGTTTTTGAATTTGTTTCTTCCCTAAAATGGATGTACTTGTTGTCAGAGTATTGTTGAGGCCACTCTTCTGAAGTCTACTATAGCCAGCACTGTTGGATTTATTACCACTGCTATTACTTCCGCCACTGCTGTCCTTTGAAATGGCACCTGCAGTTTTAAATCGTGACTGAAACAATCCTGGTTGTCGGTCGTTTTACCTGCACTTTTTCCTTGCTGTGAGAATGAATAAATAAAATCAGTTGCTATAGGTAATAAAAAAACTTTAATCTTTACATTTCAGTACTATACTAACCTATACAGTACAATACAGCTGCAATACAACTCATACAAGAAATATTCACAAAACAATATTCACTGAATATCTAAGCTGTCATAAAACCATGTAATTAGCATAAAACAAAGACACTGGAGGCATGTGAGACAATGACAGAGTCCAATTAGAGCAACATTAATGACAAAAATAACTTTTTGTTTTATCATTTTTTTTAACACACCAGCCTTCTCCCAGCAAGGCAAGGTGGCCCAAAAAAGAAATGCTTTCATCATCATTCACACAATCAGTCTTTGCAGAGCCATGCCATAATACGTACTATGGTGCAAAGAATAAAAAGTTACGAGAAGAAAAATACAGCAGAATGAATTACCCAGTATTAGTAGTGTTATCAGCAACACCACTTCCGTTGTCACTTTTACTTTTACTGGGCTGTTTTCTGGTACATTTGCCAGAGAGTTCTGATGCTGACTGGCTCATACCTAAAAAAAAAAAGTTATTGCATAAAAATTATCCCATTTCAAAATAACTCTGACTAACATTTTGTTTGTTAAATTTTATATACAGTAGACCGTCATTTAACACTGTAGTTACATTCCTGAAAACACCGTTTTATTTAAAATCTTGTTAGGCAAAGTGAAGAACTTATGGGAAAAATAGGGTTATGTTTCTGGGAGCCCCAAAAAAAGCCAAACAATTTTTTTTTCGGCTTTCAGATCTTACAAAAATAAAAGTGAATATGTAATTGTAGTTCACTGTCGTGATGTATTATGTTGTTTTTACTGTTTAGCCCTTTCAGGGTTGGTGCCGTACTAGTACGGCTTGCACACCAGGGTTGGTGCCGTACTAGTACGCATAAATTCTAGCACCTTCAAATCTAGTGAGAGAAAGCTGGTAGGCCTACATATGAAAGAATGGGTCGACATGGTCAATGTGTGTAGTATAAAAAAATCCTGCAGCACACAGTGCATGAGAAAAAAAAAAACTCCGACTGTGTTTTTGGTTTAAAACAGTGAGTTTGCAGTGTAGTTTCGTACACTATTTATGGTTGTATTCTAGTTTTCCTGGTCTCATTTTATAGAATGGAAGACATATTACGGAAATTAAGATGATTTTGATTGGTTTCACCATGAAAAGTACCTTTCAACCCTTTCAGGGTTGGTGCCGTACTAGTACGGCTTGCACACCAGGGTTGGTGCCGTACTAGTACGCATAAATTCTAGCACCTTCAAATCTAGTGAGAGAAAGCTGGTAGGCCTACATATGAAAGAATGGGTCGACATGGTCAATGTGTGTAGTATAAAAAAATCCTGCAGCACACAGTGCATGAGAAAAAAAAAAACTCCGACTGTGTTTTTGGTTTAAAACAGTGAGTTTGCAGTGTAGTTTCGTACACTATTTATGGTTGTATTCTAGTTTTCCTGGTCTCATTTTATAGAATGGAAGACATATTACGGAAATTAAGATGATTTTGATTGGTTTCACCATGAAAAGTACCTTGAAATTGAGCTCAAAGTAGCAGAAATGTTCGATTTTTGCCAAAGTTCAAAAGTAAACAAATCACGTCATGCGTCCAATACACGTCAACTGGTGAGTCTAACATTCTTTCACAAATGCGCTGATATTATTTATACCATTTCTACACTAATGCAGTAGTCTGCATAACAGTAAATTTTCTATTTTTTGTGAGAATAAAAATTCAAAGTGGAAAGCAAAAAAAATGTAACAGAGGCCTGGGGACATGACTAATGAACAGAGGAAATGTTATTTTAGTGCCAGAGTATCTGTCTTGTTTATTCTGGACCCTATTTGGAAATTGACATCTTTTGAACTTTGTGTGAAATTGGCAAAATTGCCAATTCCTGACCACTTTATTATAGTTGAAATAGGTAAATGGGTGGTTTCTTGTACTCATTCAATAGAAAAAATGGAGTTCTAGCAAAACAGTTATGATTTTTTCGACTGGTACATTGGAACTGGCCGAACATAGGGCTCAAAAAGGGCGAAATCGCCGATGCATAAACATCGTCGAGACCGCTAACTTCGTAAGAGCATAATTCCTTAAGTTTTCCATTAAATTTCATACTTTTGGCATCATTATGATCAGGAAAAGATTCTCTATCATTTCATAAGAATTTTTTTTTTTTTATATATAAAATTTTTGACCCTGAGAACAAATTTAGTAGAGGCCCTGCCGACCCTAAAAAGGTTAAGATTACAAGTACAACAGAAATAATAGTATTGCTTACGCTAAATTGTGGGTGCTGGTGTTTGTAAATGATTGTGGAAAGTGGAGAGTTGTGCTGTGGCCCTACTGTGCTGAGGTGGATGGTAGAGGTTCTGGTACTGAAGTCGATGGTTGTACTGGAGTGTGCATAAATTTTGTAATGGATTTCTGTTCTATTTTACCCGGCAGTACATTATACAACTGACAGTAAGGCATCAGCTGCTCTAGACACCATTTCAGGATCCTCTTCAGTGAAAAAGTCTAAGTCAGTAAATTAGTCAAGTCAGTAAATCAGTCAATCAAGTCAGTAAGTCAGTCAGTAATACTGTCAGTCAGTGCATCAGTAATACAGTCAATCAGTAAGTCAGTAATACAGTCAATCAGTAAGTCAGTCAAGTCAGTCAGTAAGTCAGTCAAGTCAGTCAGTAAGTCAGTCAGTAAGTCAGTCAAGTCAGTCAGTAAGTCAGTCAAGTCAGTCAGTAAGTCAGTCAAGTCAGTCAGTAAGTCAGTAAAGTCAGTCAGTAAGTCAGTCAAGTCAGTCAGTAAGTCAGTCAGTGCATCAGTAATACTGTCAGTCAGTGCATCAGTAATACAGTCAATCAGTAAGTCAGTAATACAGTCAATCAGTAAGTCAGTCAAGTCAGTCAGTAAGCCAGTCAAGTCAATCAGTAAGTCAGTCAAGTTAGTCAGTAAGTCACTCAGTAAATCAGTCATCACACAAACTCACATTTACCTAATTCTTTTTATGTGCACAAAGAGATGCTTCATTACGGCTACAGGCTATCTCGTCTAGTACAGGTACCATCCGACTTACAACCGAGCTTGGTTCCAACCAACCAGTCGAAAGTCAAAATGGACGAAAGTCAACTTTACTACTGAATATCAACATCACATTTTTGTAATGACTTTATGTATTTAATTGTTTTATTTTGGTATTTCATTTTTTACTTTACTTTTGATGCTGTTAGTACTGTATTTTATACTGCAAGGTTTAGGATAAACACTGTGTACAACACAAACAGTTGTTTATTTCACAGAAATTTGGCATAAAAAACATGGTCGTAAGTCGAGTGGTCGTATGTCAAGCAGGAGGTCGTAAGTCGGATGGTAGGTGTATCTCTATTTTCTTCGTTAATTCTAAGACTTAAACGCTTAAACCTTTTCTTGCCACTTTCAGCAACACTTGTATGCCTACTGGGTGCCATGACTGCAAGAAAAAGATATAAATTCCTAGCAGAGGACTGTACATATCCCGCGGGCAACGCGCTCAAAATTTTTTCCCCTCCTGTGAATAGTGTTAATTTTACAAAGTGTTATACAAAAATATGCAGCAATTCTTCAGTCGTGCTATAACCAAAATGTGCCAGACAATACTGTGTTAAACAACGGTCTATACCCGAAGTATACCTGGAGAGAGTTCCAGGGGTCAAGGCCCCCCATGGCCTGGTCTGTGACCAGGCCTCATGGTGGATCAGGGCCTGATCAACCAGGCTGTTACTACTGGCCGCACGCAACCTAACGTACAAACCACAGCCCGGCTGGTCAGGTACTGACTTTAGGTGCCTGTCCAGTGCCTGCTTGAAGACAGTCAGGGGTCTTTTGGTAATCCCCTGATGTATGCTGGGAGGCAACTGAACAGTCTTGGGCCCCTGACACTTATTGTGTTGTCTCTTATCGTGCTAGTGGCACCCCTGTTTTTCATTGGAGGGATGTTGCACAGTCTGCCAAGTCTTTTGCTTTCGTAGGGAGTGATTTTCATTTGCAAGTTTGGTACTAGTCCCTCTAGGATTTTCCAGGTGTATATAATCATGTATCTCTCCCTCCTGCATTTTAGGGAGTACAGGTTTAGGAACTTCAAGCGTTCCCAGGAATTGCGGTGGTTTATTGCAGTTATGCGCGCCGTGAAGGTTCTCTGTACATTTTCTAGGTCAGCAATTTCACCTGCCATGAAAGGTGCTGTTAGTGTGCAGCAATATTCCAGCCTAGATAGAACAAGCAACCTGAAGAATGTCATCATGGGCTACTGTATAATATAATCATTACATCTGAATTGTGATGGCTGCACACTTTCTATTGTAACAGAATACATGGGCACCACATCAGAAACAAATTCCTTTTTCATATTCCTCATATTCAACTGAACATCTACACAAATTCTATGCCAATTAGAGGTCCAAAAATGTGGGATAATTTAACAGATGAATTGAAAAATTGTAATACACCTAGCCAATTTAAAAATAAAAAATTGTAGTCAAATCATTTGTAAATGCCTTTTACTCTTTTTATTAGGTTCTCCATATTAACACTACTGCTTTAATATATTGTATCGATTGTCACCTAATGTTGTAAAAAAACTGTTCTTGATAACAATCTGATTTGAATTCTAACTCAATTTTTTCTTACCATCCAGTACCACGTTACACTTTTAGTCTGTCATATATTTTTTTAACACAGCCATTTCTCACTGAGGCAGGGTGACCCAAAAAGAAAAAAAAAACTTTCATCATTCAACACTTTCACCATCATTCACACATAATCATTGTCTTTGCAGAAGCACACAGATATGACAGTTCAGATGTCACTCCAAACAGCAGATATCTCAAACCCCTCCTTTAAAGTGCAGACATTGTACTTCCCACCTCCAGGACTAAGTTTGGCTAACTGGTTTCCCTGAATCCCTTCACAAAATATTACCCTGCTCACACTCCAACAGCTCGTCAGGTCCCAACAACCATTTGTCTTGATTCACTCCTATCAAACATGCTCACACATGCCTGCTGCATGAAGTTTTCTGTCTACGATCTACATGAATAAACAATTCTTTTTTATCCTTTTACCTGAGCTGAGCGAGGCTCCAGATGGTTCGACAGACTCAGGATTTGTGGCGTTCAAGGTCGTATCTTCATCTTCTGACATGTTAACGGGCAACTTCTCCGATACACTTATAAATATTCACTGAGGTCTTCAACTCTTAAAGTTACAAAAGTATGTTGGTTAAAAATTCATTTCAATGCTATTTTCATTGTCTTCAGAAGTATTGTAATTTAAATCAATGAAAAACAATAGAAAGTAGTGTTTAATTAGTCCATTAATGCATGAATAAGGCATGTTGCAGTGTATTTTTCCTGCTCTGGGAATTCTAATTATAGAAAATGGCCATTGCCAGAGAAGCAGCTATATCACTAAATTTTAATGATCACGGCAACATGAGATTGCTAAAGGCAAAGAAAAATAATGATTGAATTCTATAGCTTATGTCTCTCAGTTAAATAATTTATTTAGAGAGCTTCAGGAAGACATTACTATTCAATGATGAAGTCAGGTACAGAGGACAGTAATACAAATTCCTAAGTTACACTTGAATTTAAACACTTATGTAACCCTTAACCCTTTGACTGTTTCAGGCCCCTCTCTGAAACTGTCATTCTATGTCGCCAAATATTCGAAAAAAAAAAAAATTTCTTATGAAAATGTTAGAAACATTTTTATGAGTGTTTTAAGCCTAAAAAAAAATTTTTTGCCATCAGTACTTACCGAGATATAGAGCCGTAAAGTTTGCAGAAAGTGACGTGCGTACGGCAACAGCGGCGACTGCTGCCCACCCGGTATTCTTTTATTTACTCTAATTCAAAGGTTTCTTGCATTTTTCAATATTTTTCTGTTCCAGGTAACTTATGTGGCCTGTGAGACCAATGTAAGGTGCATTGTTCAAATATACACTCATTGTTTACAACACAATAACAGAACAAACTTTATCACTATTAGTTTGTGTATACACTTTGTTTACACAAACAAACAAACAATACAAAACAATGTTTATTACTATTGTTCCATAATATATATACATATGTACAGTCACTAAACACGTTCCTAGAATGCTGCAGCTTGTGGAACTTTTGAAAATGGGTATATGCAGAGGGGCACTTCCACCCCCAACATAAAACGAGTTTCCCGCGTGTTTGTGGGCTTTTTTTTGGGGCTACATCATAACCTC